CTGAGAGAGCGAGGGAGGAAGAAAAAGGATTGGTGCCACATGAGGCGACATGAGAGTGTGCCGCAGGAAATCGGAGCCCAACACCACATCTAATGACACTGTTATTAGAGGCTCTTGGCAGACCAGGGAGAATCGAATGCTAATGAAAAGCAGATACGGACAAACTTAGCATCTCTCCACCATGTGCTTTCTTTGAGTCACGGGGCATAATTTGCATGATGAGCTGCATTTGCCATTGAAACAGGACTTGTGGCGTGCATGTGTGTGAGAAGGGGCTGGATCACGGTTGCCACATTCACAGCTGTTTAATTAATGTAGTGGAGAAGCTAAGGTTAAAAATAATTGTATGTTCACGGTAAAGGTGTGGTTACCACCCACCCCTAGGTGTCTTGTCAGATGGCCTTACTTTGTTGGGCAATGGAGACCAAGAGAGAGAGGCTCTGGCTGAGCCAGCTTCCAGTGTTGAGAATTCAGTGCCTGCTTCTTGATCCAGGATGTACCCAAGTAGGAACAGACGTGACTAACATTCTGGGGTGCAGCTCAGGAATTGGGGTAAGAGTGGGGAAGAACTCTTGGCACTATGGGGTTGTTGTACCCCAATTCCTGCCTAAGTGCTGGAACTCTTTGTTTGTGCAGTGAGTGGATATTAACCAAAGGATGTGCACACACACTTGAAGTGACAGTGTTGATGCAGGGGAACTGCATAGGTTGGGTTCTGCCCTTTCTGTTCATTGACCTGGAAGCAAACGGTTACAGTATAGAGACCTTAGACCTTCCATCTGTTCATCTTCCCTCCTTCTAGTAGCCATGTATCTTGGCAAGAGCTGGGACAGTCATTGAAACTCTGCCACATTCATGGTGGCACTAGGCCCCAGCATTACTCATTTGAGAATCATCTGAATCAGAATTCATGCCAAAATCCAACGTTTAGATGTAAGGGGTTGTATCTGGTGAGAATTTTAGGTTATAGGAGAGCTATACAGGTGGCCATATCGTATTTATTCTACTTAGTTGATAAGCTGAGAACAAATTTCAGAATTCAAAGAGGCTCTGCATTTTCTCCAGGCTGATGTTCATATGCCCTAATCATGAAACCTGCCCTGGCCACTTGATATAGAGTCATGTATTCACACTGTCTTTACTTCTGCCCAGTGCTGTCACCCTTGCAGTAAGTTTATCCACTGGCTCTTTCTCCCACTACACGAGAGCAAGAGCTCTTGGGGCTGGGTTTGTTTTGTTTACTGTATGTTTTCAGTAGCTCTTACAGAGTGGGGACTGCACTGTGATCCCTGAAGAAATCCAAGGACTGAAGCCAAATCCTGAATGAGAGTGCTGAAACAGTATGTTGCCAATGTCTGGAGAAAGGAGGGCATCCTAAGAGAAAGCTGGGCATCTCTTAGGGACCCCTTTCAATTCCCAGTTTGTTTGAGCAAGTGTTTATATTGAGGGTCACAGGCTTACTCTCTCAGGACTCATAGTCTGCTAAAGGATGCAGGGTTTTAAGCTAAAACAGACCTTTAAGATCCAGGTCAGGAATCAAGCCCCCCAAGAGACTTTCCTAAACGCCCGCTATGCCTTCCCAAACCTGGATTAGCAGAATTCTTAAGATTCCTAATAGCAACCCATACAGAACTTTATCACAGCCCAGATGTGAAGCAGACAATTACAGTCCACTCCACTTCTTCCCCTTTACTCAGCAGAGGCTCTCATCACAGAGTACAGTATCTGACTGAGGGAGAAAAGTCAATAAATCCGTGCATGTTGCTTGGCATTGCTGTTGTTTGTTTAGTAACTGGCACATGCGTATGTTCTAAAGGGATATAGGTTCAGAAGCATCTCTACACAATGGTATGTAAACATCTTTGGCATTAATGTTTCACATTCATATTCTAGAACCTTCTCCTTTTTCAGCTCCCCTTGTGGCCTGAGAGATGTGACAATTGACTAGTCGAACAAAATTTTTGGAGATAGTTTGGGGCGTTCCCTGCATCCGTGGCTGCAACTGAGGCTCTGATTTAGTTGAAAAATTACTCACTGTGTTGGCAAGATGGCTTATCAGGTGAAAGAGTTGTTCAAGCCCAGCAACCTGAAATTAATCCCCAGAGCCTGTGGTGGAAGACAAGAACTGACTCCTGACTGGTTCCCTCTGCCTTCCACATGAGTGACATGGAGCCCCCCAATAATGATAATAAATAAAGTTATATGTTCAAGCTTACCTTTCACATGTACATGTCAGGAACTCTCAGAAGCCATGAACATCTGCTTAATTCTGGTGAGAGGCCTTCTAAGTAAGCACTGTGGACTCAGGACATCTTGATGCTGCCACTTTGATGTGGCTGTTTTGAGTCAGGGCTTCTGGGACATTTTTTGTCACAGTCAAAAAAGCAAACAATTAAGCAAGCTGCAGTTTTGTATAGCAAAGAAATGTGTGCCACAGGCACGCAGATCCTTCTGGGGGTAGGGTGCAGATGTGAGCGTAACATCTGTGTGTTTGCACTTTACCATGGCTGTTTCTATGCCTAACACTTTCATGACATCATGTGGGTCTCATCAGAATGTTTGCTTTCAGGACTTGCTAGACTCATTTTAATGGTGAGAGTGGGTCAGATTCTAATTTCAATGGCAGCAGAGTGAGCAAATGAAGCCGAAGGCAAGAGAGTTGATGATCTCGGGGGTGGGGGTGGGGGTGGGGGTGGGGGTGGGGAGGTGCCAGAGTTTGGGGAGGGGCTGGCTAAGGAAGTGTGCTCACTCTCTCAGCACATGGACTGCCTCTCTTCCTCACTGGCTATTTTCTAGTTTTGAGCTTCGTTTTATTGCACAGTTCTGTCTGGAGAAATGTTTAAAGATGGAAAAAGATCCCAGTACAAAGCTAGAAATGTGATCTGTCTGTGCTATAGAGACGGTTCTGATCATTTCTTCCTGCTTGCTGCACGGAACCCTTTCTGTGTGTTTCACTTGGCAGGGAAGGAAGTGGCCCTGGCTGCTTCCCTGATCCCTGTAAACATGGGGAGCAGCGATACTGCTTTCTTTTAATAGGTGATCTGAGTGACTGTAAGTGCCACAGGTGGCTTAAAGTCAGAGGTTGCCTGCAATGGCAATTTAGTAAGAACATAAAGGACACTAAGAAGCTTTTAGGTTTTGGCTACTTACTCTCACCTTAGTATTCTGGCAGACTACGAAGTACTATTCTTAGGTTTTAGGGCAGTTTGATAGTAAATACATTAAAAACAGTGTGCTATAAAAAGGGAAGCCATTGTGTTTAGTTCCAGAGTTTTAGCTCTGAGCTAAATTCTCAGTGCCTTGTTGGAATGCTGGGGCCACTGGATAGGTCCTTTAAGTTATTGTCATCTTTGCAAGGGCCTTGATAAGCCTGTCCTCTTCCTCCTGTTCTCTAGAGAAAGAAACTGCCTATGGCTATCACGCCACTGTAGTTTGTTGAACATTTTGTTCATGTGTGTATGTGTGTTGTGCAGGCAGATGGGTGCATATGTGTGTGCAGCTGTGTGTGTACATGTCTTCATGTGTACTTGGAAGTGTAAGGTCATTCTTCAGGTGCCATCAAACTTTCTTTTCTGAAGCAAGGCATCTCATTTACTCTGGGGCTCACTAATAGGCTAGACCAGCTAGCCAGCAAGCCTGTCTGTGTCTCCCCAGGGCTGGCACTATAAATGTACGTCATCACAACCAGATTTGCAATGCAATTTCTGAGAACCATGCTCATGGCTCCCTGCTTGCAGGGCAAGAGTTTTACTACTGAGTCATTTTTCACTCCCTCTTTACTGAACTTTCGTAAAGGAGTAGCAGACCCTTCCCTCCCTCATATTATAATCTGGGGATTATAATATAATCTGGCTCCTCCCAGATTATACATCTTTAGAGCCCTGTTCTATGCTTCTGGCTTCCAGTTAAAAAGGAAGACACACATTAAGCACCGCATCACATAGCTAGCAAGCAAAGAGTGAGGACTTAGATGCCTGAAGCCCACACTCCTCCCATTATCATTAGTGATACTGCCAGGCCATTGCTTTGCAGGAAGATATTGCTTCCATGAAGATTTTTCTGGTCCTGTAAGAATACCTAAGCAAGGGTACCACCCTCCTGTCACGTTGTCTATCAGTGATGCGCCCCTCTAGGTGTTACATCTTTTCATCTGTTTTTGTTTTTATCCACGAAATGATATTTGTAAATAGAGACTACCAAAAAATATCCTCAATTTATCGAAGTGAAAATGTACAAGTTTCCTTCGAAAACCTTACTGGCCTGTGGGTGATATGGTAGGGGAGGGGAAGACAAAGTCTTCCCCTTCCCCAGCAGGGGTTCTACTGAGCAGACTCCCAAGATAGTGGGCATATTTACTTGGGGCAGGGCATATGGAAAATGGCTGAGTTGCATCCAAAGATGACAGTGAGCTGCCTGCAGCCACACTGCTTTGATTGAGTGGCCTTTACTCGTGGGCAGTTTACCAGAGTTCTGGTTATACAAGCGACATTCTAAAACCACAATTGACTGACCTTTCTTTTAGCTGTATACAATGGTTTTTTCAGAACAGAGGGAAGGGTTGAGTTAGCAGCAGATGTGACTTTCACCTCTGTGGGATGTGGAAGACTTGAACTTGGGGGCATCCTGATTTTGGTGTAATTCAGGCCATGACTTTCTTGAAAAATATTACACGCCCCGTCCCTCGTTATTAAGAGAATGGAAGAGATGAAATATCGGAACTTGATGTATCTGGATTTGAAACCTTAATGTCTTATTGATTTTAAAGCCTACCCCAGTAAAATGGAGTCGAGGTTCTTAAAATCGACTATTTTTCATGGTGCTCTTTTTCTTACTGTGGGAATCCAGGGTAGTGGGGGTAAATGTATCTATGTGCCCTACAGTTAACTGAAATACAATGTGATCTCATCACTCCTCCTTTGTCTTCCTACTTTGCTTAAAAGAGCCCCCCTGCGATTATCTCAGCAGGGAGTCACTAACCAGAAGCTTCATTTCTGTTGCAGTGCCAACAATATGCCCAAGCAGGTGGAAGTGCGCATGCACGACAGCCACCTCAGCTCCGATGAGCCAAAGCACCGAAACCTGGGCATGCGCATGTGCGACAAGCTGGGGAAGAACCTCCTGCTCTCGCTAACTGTGTTTGGTAGGTGCCTGAGGTCTCTCTACTCTTTTCTCCGAGATCACCCCAACTCTTTTTTCCAGAGCTCTCCTGATTTGTATGGAAGCTAGCCTCTCAGAGTGTGCTCCCTGTGAAGAAGAAGACAAGTGACCTGGGGTGGAGGGGCTAATTAGGCACTACTGCCCCTGTGGCAAAAATCTACTCCTAAACCAACTCTTGCTATCTCTTCTCCCCAACCTGTGAGTTCTCTATAATGTCCATATACAGTCCCTGTGAGTGTGAACATGCAGGTTCCCAGCCATACTTATGAGGACTGTTTTGAGCTGTTGGGAGAGAGGCCAGAGAATCTGCAATGCAGCAAACCTCCTGAAAGACCCCAGGGCAGGCAATCAGTAGACCTCATTCAGACATACTTGCATCAAGATAAGTATAACAGGGCTAGAGAACCCCACTAAGAAGATCAGGCCTTTGCCAGAAGCGTCATTGACGTTGATTGACTCATGGAGTTGAGGAGGGGATCGTGGAAGAGGCTCACTCTGATGCTCAGATACGTTCCAAGATGTCTTGGAGGAGTGCCCCCTGCTTTAAGCCATTCTGGGGGGCGATTCTTGTGTCTGAGCCGTCAATACAGTCTTGGTCTTGGGTTTTCTACAGGGTATATTGAAAGCAGAGTAAATGGCAGTTTCTTGTAATGACAGCTGCAGAGTTTCTCTTCCCAATTCCCTCCTTCTTCAGCTCTCACTTATACTACACAGAGAAAGACCCAAAGTTCATGGCCCTTCCGTCCTCACCATCATCTGCACACCCCTAATATCCCCCATATCCTGTGTCACCTTTAGCATCTCAGCTGCCAGTGGACCAGAATCAAAACTGGGGATTGCCTCAGTTCACTTAGGAGCAGGGAATCACAACCATGGCTGGATTTTTAAAGAATCATCCACTATGTAATCAAATTTCACTCATCTTAGGACTTCAGGAAGGTCAACAGTATGTTTTTTTTAAACCTGTAGAGACAGGAAAAGGATCTACTCTTCAGCTGCAGCCACATACCAGGCAACTCCTTCCCCATTACCAAGGGGTCTGTAGCCTAGATTGTAGGTTATGCTTTTGGGGGTTATGTTGACCAGCCATTTTCAACAGTCTAAAGTTTTTCTGGTGGAATATAGGAGCCTGTAAAGCAAACCTCATCTCTGTCAGCAACTTTGCTCAACTTGACTCCTCCCAGATTATAGATAGGTCTTTAGAGCCCTGTCATATATGTCCGACTTTCAGTTAAAAGGGAAGACATATAACATTCCAAATACCAAATCACATTGGCAGATCTGGCTGGGAGGAAAAAAAACCAATACTGCCTGCTGGGAATTGGCTTTTCAGTGAATTTGTAATGCTATGTGCAATCAATATCTCAAAAGATTTTGGAGTCAAGTCTTCATTTTTCCCAGGAAGTGTTAAAAATGTTCTTCTGGACTCCTCTGGTGTTGGAATAATTGGAGCTGTTACTAAAAGATGTCTTGCAGGTTGTCAAAATCAGTTTCCTTTACATAATGTCTTTATTTTGTGATATTCATAGTCTATTAGCCAGACACACAAAAAAAATCATAATCACTCAAAGGTACCTTTGGAGCTTTTCATTTGGCTAGGGAAAACCCTGAATTCAGGTTGCCTCTTTTCCTTCAACAGGTGTCATCCTGGGAGCAGTATGTGGTGGGCTGCTTCGCTTGGCATCTCCCATCCACCCTGATGTGGTCATGTTGATAGCCTTCCCGGGAGACATACTCATGAGGATGCTGAAGATGCTCATCCTTCCTCTCATCATTTCCAGCTTAATCACAGGTGAGAGCGAGCGCCTTCCCAGTGCCTGCCCACCTATGGCATAGCCCTGTGCTGGCTTTGGGAATCAAAGTAAAATTTCTTTTTGGCTGAGTCAATGGATTCACCTCTCTATATCATGACATCTCTGATCGTTTTCCTGTCTCTGAAATAGGAAGCATTGATCCTAAAAAGAAAGACAATACATCTGTCATTCACTTTGCCTTTCCTTCTAACAGTCAAAGATACAAAGGATGTATTAAAAGCGATTCTAGCTTGTTATTTCATTTTTAACATTTTCAGTATATTCAGAAGCTGATAGAGGTTGTAAATGAAAAAGTACACTGCCTTTGTTATTTACTTGGGGATATAGGGAGATATGAATTGAAAACAGATTAAACGTTAGGCATGAAAGCTGAAGGTTTTTAAATAGAAAGATATACTTAATATGTCTTAATATGCTTTCTTATTATATTTTTGGCTAAAATAATTAATTGCTTTGAGTTTTTTCCTATGTTTGAACTCATACTAATACTTTTCTTCTTACCAGGCAATATTATTGAAACAGAGTATGATGTATTGCTTGGTGATCAGTTTGGAGTTAATAGTGGGAATCTCCAAGGTGGTCCATAGCTAGTTGCCAGTCAGCTTGGTGGCCTTCAGAGCTGAGGGAAAGGAGGTTCAGTGACTCCAGCTGACTTAGACCCTGGGCCAGTTGTCCCAGCCTTACACCAGAAACACTAGCTTTCAGGTTCAAGTGTTCAGGAACCTGATTTTCTCATCATTAAGCCCTGGGGTTGAGTGAATCTATGCTTCTCTCCAAACCAGAGAGGATGTTTTTCAGGCCTGTTCAGTAGGTTATATGCGATCCAACCTGGTAGAGAGACTCAGCTTCCTTTACCCAGACTTAGACTTTGGGTTCTAGAGAGAAATGGGTCATACGTGGGTCATATTAATTCAGAGAAATTCACACCAACTTCCTCCCCAGCATGAAAAAGGGACAGATCCCCAGAAAAGGGTTCTATCTCTCTGTTTAGTAAAGGTAGGAACTGAAACCAGGAAGTGGGCACACTGAAGAAACAACTGGAGAAAAAACCCCAGTGAAGGCTGAGGTCTGTATGACTTGACTTGGAGTTTCCTCTGACCGCCCTCAGTGCAGATGCTGCACATGGTGCTGCTGGCAGCTGCTTCTTACACGTGTTCTCAGATAGCCACAGGAGGTTAGACACAAGAACCACCATATTTCTACACAGGGACATGGGAGGACCATACTAGCTCTCCATTTCAGTCTCATGTAGTGTATTCTAAAGCTATTTGACCATGATCTTGATGTCCCAGCTGTTGAGTCTCCTAAATAAGGACAATTAATATTAATGATAACATATGAGTGAAATGTTATCCTTGGCTCAACCATTGCTTCAGAGAAGACAACTGAAGGTCATGAAAATGGAAAAGACATTATCTTAGAATTGAAAATGGAAAACTCTTCAATGTTATTTTCACATATATACTAGTGATTGACAGGTAGGTTGAGATCAACCATATGTAAACTATGAGTCACCTACTCCCCAGGTTCTCAAGAATCTCAAAAATAACCTTAGAAAATAGAAATGTAAAGTGTGGAATTGGTCACATATTTAGTTGGAGGAGTGCTAGTTGACCACTGATCTATCTGAATGATAAGAAGCCAGGGGTTGTAGAGATGAGGACATAAGTAGAAAAGAGCAGAACTGATCTTTGTGAATTTCTTTTAAAACCAGGGTTGTCAGGCCTGGATGCTAAAGCCAGCGGCCGCCTAGGCACGAGAGCCATGGTGTATTACATGTCCACGACCATCATTGCCGCCGTGCTGGGGGTCATCCTGGTGTTGGCCATCCACCCTGGCAATCCTAAACTCAAGAAGCAGCTGGGGCCTGGGAAGAAGAATGACGAGGTGTCTAGCCTGGATGCTTTCCTGGATCTCATTAGAAATCTCTTCCCGGAGAACCTGGTGCAAGCCTGTTTCCAACAGGTAACCCACAGCCCTAGGGTCACCCCTGTTCAGTCTTCCACCTAATATGTGATAATTTAGAAACAGTTTCAACTCTGAATAGCAGTTTTCTAAATATGTACTGATCTCTGCCAGGCTTGAGTGTTACATGATGTGCTCTGGAATATTCTAGGGCTAGAATCAAATGGCTTCATTTCTGAAATAATTGTTGCCTACATCCTTAATATCACTCTGAGATTCACCTTTTCCTTTTTTCTTTTGTTCCTGTCTCTCAGTTGCACACACAGAGACACACAGACACAGACACAGACACAGACACAGACACACACAGACACACACACAGACACACACAGACACAGACAGACAGACAGACAGACAGACAGACACACACACACACACAATTTTACCAGTCTTGCTCACAACCCTCTAAATTGCCCAGTGGTTCTCAACACTATTCCAAAGTTCTGTGTAGCCCTTAAAGGAAAAAGTACCTGGCTTAATCTGTCCTACAAAATGAGAATCTATAATCCATCCTCAAGATGAGACAGGGGAGTAAGTGTAATTTTTTAATTGCAAAAACATCATGCACCTATGAGCTAGCAGTGGAGAGGCAGAGACAGGAGGATCCCTGGGGTTTGCTGACTAGAAAATTCTGCAAATTCTGGGTTCACTGGTAGACCCTGTCCAAAACATAATGGGGAGAAAGACCAAGGTAGATGCTTATATTAGCCATTGATTGACCTTCACTTATGTTTGTACATACATGCAAGGACAACCACACATGGGCACACACACAAGCTTATAGCCTTTAAAAACAGATAATCCTGCTAAATTAAACTACCTAATGACCAGCCAAAAACACACTCACTGCTCCGTTTTCTGTCTACAGAGCTAAACTAAGGTTGGCACGTACCTTAGTCCCCATTAGCTCATGAAAAGACTCAGCTGAAACCTGTCTGTTCTTCAGCCATTCTCAGGGAAGCATTGAAGAATGAAGCTATAGGACAGACAGCTTAGAAGAAAAGTCTGATTTCCAGCCCTTAAAATGCAGTGCCAACTCCCACTGAGCCAAAAATTATATCAGGCTGGGATGGATTTTTCTGATTTTTAAAAGAAATGATGAATATTTAAAATGAGAAATTTGCTCATCATCTTGACTTTTTTGATCAGTGACAGCATGTATGGAAATATTCCCTATGTATGTATTCATATATAGAAATACCTGTTATACACCATAAATATGTATAATTAAGTCAATGAGGATTTATGTTAAAGAACCCCATTCCAGACTTGAAAAGTAGGAGGAAGAGTGACTAGAAGCTGGAGAAAGGAATCTTACTGAGGTCCGCTGTTCATGTGCTTGTTAGCCTTGCCTCGGATGATGAAGTATCTTGCTTTAGAGTGGTAGATACAAGTAGCTGCTGAGTCTATTTTGAAAATTTTGAAATGTGTGTTTTGGAGCTATGGACCCTAGGACATTTGCTAAGAGAACTCAGGTGAGGCGGCATGAGAGCTCCCAGGAAAGGCAGATCTTGATCTTCTTCTTGTGTCTAGTCACATCTGTTCAGATACCTTCCTTTCAGCCTGGGAAGCAAGACCAGAAAGTCCCAGGTACCTGGAGCCATTGCTCTACTGTTGTTGGACTGAGCTTCTGTAGTGTTAGCCATTCTCACACTTGGGTAGTTCTGTGGCTGATGGTGGGCTTTGCCCCATGGGAAAGCATACTGTCTGGACTCTAGGGTATATCACTACATCAGGTTGTGTTCCATCCCTGCCATGATCTTACATTTTTCCTATGGCAACCTAGTTTTGTTTCCCCAGCTAAGGCCAGGGTCAAGTTCTCTTTGAGTTGGGGCAGTTTGAGGAATTTCAGTGTATGATCCTTTACCTGACAGTGGGAATGAATGTAGATCTTTAACCTGATTTTAAGGGCCTTGATCAGAGAAGACCATTCTTACAGAGTAACACATCAGAAATAGAGGACGGGGTCAATAGCATCCTTTCTGGATCCCCATGGCCTGGCACGGAGTGTTTTAAAATTGCCCATCTTGAGGGAAGGGAGATTCCTGTCTAGAGTTAGAAACTGGGGCAAAAAGAGGAAGGATACTTGTTCCCATTCGAAGCAGCCTTCCGTGGTCTTGGCTTGCTCAAATCAGATCCTGAATGTCTAAAAGCAAAACAGCCTTCCATCTGTTTTTAGGGACCGATGAAAGAAGAAAAGCTTCCATGTGTTTCATATAACACATAGGAAGGCAGAACTCAGCTCAAGTAGTCACTAGTAAGGTCAAATTCAGGTTCCTAGTCTAAGAAAGCTTGACTTAGGGAAATAATTGGTTTTCTTTTGAAAAATAACCAATGTGGCAGCTATTGATGTAAACAAAGCTACAAGTAGCTGAAGGCGAGAGGCTGGTAAGAAGGAAGGCATGTAGGTCAACTAGGAGACATTTGTGAGTTTTCTGACAAGGGATGCTGGTAAGTTGGACTCAGGTATCACAGCAAGTATACAGATGGAGTGGTCCAAACCCAACATGTATGTATTCATGTATGGAAATATGAGTTGAGACCTGGACAGAAGACCTGGCCAGTGTGCCAGTGCACCCATCTCCTCAGTTTCAACCAAAACCCCTTCAGTTGGGAAGCTAGATTTTGAAGTCAAGCATGATTCGTGTTGAATCTGGCATCACAGACTAACTAGAAATTAGGTCGTGGGTTATTTGTAGGACAGGAAAGATATGACACCCTTAGCAACCAGCCTCCCACCGATCCTGCTTGCCATCCATGATAATCACTTCAGAGTAGTTCATCCTGCTCAGGATACGTCTCCATCTTTCTTGCCTAGAGTCTGGCAGCTATATTCAGAAGTTTCCTTTCTGGTCACTTCTGTGGTTTCTCTTCATGTTTCTATTGCCCAGAATTTGGATCATCCTCTGCTTATGTAGCCAAGTTTGGGTCTCCTGTGACCCTGAACAAGTGTGTATGGCCAGGCTAGCATGGAAGGCACCTGCCTCCTCCTACAGAAGCCTGCCCATCCTTCCTTCCTGTTCTCGTTATCTCACTTCAGCACTGCTAACTGTCAAACCCAGCTGCAGAAGGATCAAGTCAGTATAACTCAGCATATGGTGCAGGTGGTGGGAAGAACTTAATGGTGGTCCAGCCATTTGAGTTCAAGTGTCAGCTCTGCCAATAATGATGACGTCTGAAAAACCAGTTAACTTCTTCCTGCATCGTCTTCTGTATCTATTCAAGGTTCAGCCATCTGTCACCTCTGATGTGCCAGCACAGACATTCTAGGATTGTGAATGATTTCTATTTTAATGCCCTTCAAAGTGGTAAATTTTGAGACTGAGATGTGAATTTTTGCATGCAGGATGCCTGACACCTTTAAAATTAGACCCACTTCCACGGATGTCGAGGAATAGCATAGGAGATGCTTGGGGAGTATTAGGCAAGAGTGAGTTGGCTTTGTTGCCTGGAAGAAGTATATATGTCCCACCTTGCATATGAATTACATAATTCTGGAGAGGTGGCTATTGGGTAACTGTCACCCCTGATGCCCAGATGGAGATTCCCAGCAGAGCTTGGTTTTAGAAATACCCAGAGCCTAAGAGAGGCTTCTGATGACTCAGTCCAGCAGAAAGAACATCTACCTGGATCTCACAATTTGGAAGATCAACTAAGTTGGACTTGTGATATCATCCCCAGTCACAGAGGTGTCATCATGGAGAGGACAAAATGAACACATATCCCCCAGCTATAGCAACTGTGCTGCTTAGGGTACAAATAAATTTCATAAATTTTGTAATAATCTTGATAGTAGGACAGTTGCACCATACTGCATATATAATGAGTTAATACTCTATTAAGAATATAAACATAAAATATTTGCCAATTTTATTAGCCTTGTTTTGGCATCTCATAGTTGTAGTTAACATCTTGGGAAGGTTCAACTATATGGCTGACTGGCTGGCTGGGTTGTTGTTGACCTTTTAGACTAACCCTCACCTTTATTCTTTTTCCTCCCTGCTCCATTAGATTCAGACAGTGACAAAGAAAGTTCTGGTGGCACCTCCATCCGAGGAGGCCAATACAACCAAGGCGGTCATCTCCATGTTGAATGAGACCATGAATGAGGCCCCTGAAGAAACTAAGATCATTATCAAGAAGGGCCTGGAGTTCAAGGACGGGATGAATGTCTTAGGTAGGCATAGTAGCTGTTGGTGTCCATCACCTTTGACTTCCGGACAGTGGCCAGCCTTTCTCAGCAGCCTTCTTCACTCAGTTCTCAGCCTCCCAAGGTTTCTTCTCAGAAAACCCTGTAAATTGTCCTCTAGGTGGCGCAGAAGGTTCTCTCTGGGGAACAATATGAGCATCACTGAGACAGCTGAGCCATGAAGGAAGAGAGACAGGAGGATCACAGAAGAGGAACACCAAAGGGACATGGCAGCCAGAGATCAGGGATGGGAAAAAAGGAAGGAGCTGACATTTGTCAGGCACATTATCTAACTAGCCATTTAATGAACTGGAATATGCTTATCTTTTATTTATTAAGATTTTTTAAAGCTGTCTCTTTGCAGAAGCACCATACTTGTTGCCCCATCCTAGCTTCGAGTCTATAACAAATGCTGAGTTACTATTATTGGACAGTATTAGATTAGGGAACAAAGGGGTATTGCAGAATATATATGACCCTCTCCTCAAGCTTGATGCCTTCTCTCCATTCCATCCAGAGGTTCTCTTTAGCAGCACAGATGTGGGTTTAGGGGGCACTCATTGGTTGTCTGCTCCTGGGCAAGTCTTTCTACTTCTCTGAGCCTCAGCAGTAAATTGGAAATGGGATTAGCCCGTGTTTGTGGACCGACCGTTGTAAAAATGAAATGAGGTCGTGCCTATAAAACACCTTAGCATATTCAGCGAGCTCTGTTCAGATAAGCTCTGGTCATTACTAAAAGTGGATGAATAGCTAAGGAGATCAACCAGAAAACATTTCATGAAGTGCAGGGTGAGGTGGTTTCCTTCATGGGATCAGCTCCAAATTTGCCCAGACTTACTAATCACCCAGCCATCTTAGGGCTTTAGGGTGGGCCCATTCATCCCCATTTCCATCATTCTTCAGTTTAATGGTGTCAAGAACATGGGTTGTTTGCCTGCAAAATGAAAAAAATGGAGAAATATGAATCTGTAGCAAGATCTTGCAAAGAAGTTTCTAAGGACTCAGGTTGAGAACTGTTTAGAGTGGGTGAGCTCAGTGGTCCTGTCCCTTTGTCATCTAAGAGATCAAATGACCTTGTCTCCTTGGACTGTCATTAGATAAACTTGAATTTTAGATCAATACAAGTAACAATAATTTAGTGTAAGTATGTCCCAAGTGTATGGGCTAGTCTAAAAAAATTAAAAAATAATAAACAAGGTTCATATGTAGGATGTGATTGGCAGTGCTGTTTAATTGTTTTGTGCACTGAGCACAATGGACATCGGTGCTGGAGAGAGAGAGAGGGCAGAGGAGCTGTGCAGCCCTGTGCTTGCAGGGCTGAAGTAGATGCTCCTTGTTTGGCCTGGAAGAAAGTCTGTTGGGTGAGAGTGAGGGAGAAGATAAGCTGAGTGGGTTGCCAGGCAACAAATGATCAGTAAACACAGTTGATAATCAGAGACTAGCCAGAGGAGGAAGTGAGACAGTCCCTCTGAGAAGGAGGCTTTTCTGATAACCCAGAAGCCTCTTTCTCCACTGCAAAGGTATCTACAACCATTTCAGGGCCTTCTCAATTCTCAGGGGCCCTTCTGGTGGGTCATAACTTTGGACCCCACCCTCCTTGACAAAGTAACTGCTCATACTTTGGGGTGAATAATTCAGAGGACTCTAGTCTTTTCAGAGGCTTAACGGATCCTAGAAAGTCACATGACCTTTGGCTGTGCCAGGGAGTTTCAAAATACTGGCAACTCGCTCAACCCCAACGACCAAGTCTAAGAGGGCTTTGTTCAAGTGAAATACCCCTGTTCCAGTGAGCAGTTTCAATTAGGCAATGTTTACCCAGGGAAATGGCAGGCTGAATCCAGCATTCCATCCAAGTACACAGCAAGGCACTGTGAAGCCAAGGGAAGTTAGATTGTTGAGAAACTTCCCATTTGCCAATCACAGCTGAAATAAGGTTTTTTTCCTGGCCTCAGAAGGGCAGCGTTAGTGGCTTTGTTTTTTGTTTTATTTTTCTGTATTTCTGGTCTTTGGTTTTTGGAAAGCCCCAAGGACTGAGCATTGCAATACAGAAAGATGTAATTTTGGCTCAGTATTCTACTTCTCCAAGGACATGTTTTTCTCCTAAGAAACCTGGAGAGCTAGTTTGTGGTACAGCATACCTATGATTCCAGCACTCAGAAAGCTGAGACAGGAGGATGATTATTCAAAGACCATTTTGAGCTGTAAATCAAGACTGCTCTCAAAAAACAGCCAAATAGATGAACCCCCAAACCAATTCTTGATCCCCACCTTAACTCCAATTGCTTAAATTGGTGCCAACTGCTCTCTCTAAATATATAAAGATTTGATTCCCTCAAACATAAATTCCTTCTCTGAACCTCTGACTTTATTTCCCCTTACCAAATATATGTGTGTGTGTGTGTGTGTGTGTGTGTGTTTCTTCCAATTCACACACATTTACACACACACTTGTAGAAAATCCAGTGTCTGTTGTTTCCGAGGGGACTCTTCATTCTAATTCTTTGGGATCCTAAGACACTGTACATTATCAAATAGTATTAACTAAGTAATACTTGGGCTTCTCAGCCTGAGACCTCACAGATAGATTCTGAGTCACCATACCCAACAAACTGTCTTCCATGGTCTGATAGAAAGGTAGAAGAAGAACTGAGATCAGATTTCCCATGGTACTGTAAAATTGGTTCATTCTGTCCTGTACCCCATCTTCACTAAGTCCCATCTTTTTGAAGGTGTCAATAACTCAATTATGATGTCACTTAACAATCCCTCTTGTCAAGAGCTAAAAGGGGGAGATATTAAATTATAAACATTAGCAATCTGAGTACAAGGGCTGTATTGTTTTCACTAAAGAGAGATGGGATCCCACCAAGTTTAGTTAACTAGGTTGACGAATGCTTGATGTAGAGAAGAAGGGTGGCTTTGGGGAGTGAGAACCAAAGGGCAAATAAAGTCAGAGGTTCAGAGAGAAGGAATGTATGTCTAAGAGAATCAAATCACAATGCTGTAATTTATCTGATAAAAGCCAACAGTCAGACATAACTAGCTAACATAAGGAAAGACCGGAAAGTAGCCCTACTAAATGGAGCAGGGTAGGGGTAGGGTAGGGAAAGAGAGAGGGAAAGAGAGAGATAGAGATAGAGAGATAGAAAGAGAGGGATGGAGGGAGGGAGGGAAGGAGGGAAGGAGAGAAGGAGAGAGAAGGGAAGGAGGGAGAGAAGGGAGGGAGAAAAGGAGAGAGGGAGGGAGAGAGGGAAGGAGATTAGAAGATGCCCAATACTTCAAGATCAGAGTACAAGTGAAATGGACAAGCAATGCTCTGTAGTTGGGAGAATAACTGTGACTTACACTCCATGTATATAGTCAAAGTTAGGTCACCAAGACTGGGGGTCCAGGAGCAATATGATTACAATTTGAAAGTCTAGACAATTCCCAGGTAATGCTGAGAATATTGTTAGCCACATAGTGTGCCCCAGTCTCTGATATGTTAAGATGAGGTACTGAGGTTGTGGGTGGTTTTGAGTGAATCTTCTGGAAAGAGAAACCAGGCTTGGTCTTTGAGGATCTGAAGTCCAAGGGCAGATCATCAGGTCCTTAGACACAGGTGAGAAGGGCTGAGCATTGGATTTGCCTCTGGATGTTGTCAAATGGAGCTGCCACTGAGAGGGTAGGGAGTGAGCTCCTCAGATTCCTCCTGCCTTGGGTTAGGATTGACACTGGAGGCTGATGTGTAGTTGAACTAGGATGTCAAGAAAAGAGAGAAGACAGATGACAGGGTAGGTATTGGCAAACTCTAACAATGAACTCTACATTCTGACTTTATCATCCTGAAGATTAATAAAAGGGGGCAGAACAAGTAGAATTCTGAAAGGTGGTTAACTTCCTAGCTAGTTTGGATTTCTTTTTAGCTCTGGTTCCGTCACTCTTCTTCCTTCCCTCGTTTGCTGTGTAGCTGGAGGGAATTCCCCAGGAGGAAGTGTACCTCAGAACAACACCTAAATGATCTAGACATTTCTCCAGCAAGGGCCTTATAAACTAGTTGTTTCTGCTGTTCCAAAAGTGGCTTCAAAGTTTGCTTGACAATCCCCAAGTCCTGACACCTCCTTTCTGTTAATCTGTGTGGTAATGGAAGCTGTGCACACATGATTTGCCAAAGTGAGGAGGAAGAGAAGACAGCATCTTTCACTTGGGAATGAAAATTAATTCATTTTCTTCAAGGCACTCACACCTCAGCTACTCAGCTACTTGAGCAAGAGTTCAGCTTGCTCAAGTGAAAAATGACAAGAAGAGCAATAATTATAGGATGGGGGCAGGGCAGGCAATCAGTGTGAAATGTAATGCTTTTTTTCTTCTTCTAATTCCTAAGTTATTCAAGGGCGACTAACAGAATTGGCCCTGTACATCAGTCATGCTAAAGTGTGAGGGGAAACAAAGTGAGTACTTTGTCATTTGTCCTTCTGAGTAATGTTATCGCCCATAGGTCTGATCGGATTCTTTATTGCTTTTGGCATTGCCATGGGGAAGATGGGTGAGCAGGCCAAGCTGATGGTGGAGTTCTTTAACATTCTGAACGAGATTGTAATGAAGTTAGTGATCATGATCATGTGGTAAGTCTATTCGTTTTGACTTCATTGTGATGGTGCCATGGTGCCACCAGATAAACCCTTGGGGTCCCCAGAGGACAGTAGAGCCCTCCCAGTATGAAGAGTGGGTACAGACCAAAAAGATATGGAGTGGTGAAGGGTGAGAAATTCTTCTCCCTTCTCCCTTCTCCCTTCTCTCTTTTTGTTTCCCTTCCTCTCACAATGGTGGTCTTTGGGCCAAATTTGACATGCCACCTATTTCTGCGTGTCCTTTAGCTTGAGAATGGAGTTTATTGTCTCATACACCCAGCCCAGCCCAAAGAGGCTGAAACAAAGTGCCGTATGCTAAATGACTTGCACACCCAGATATTTCTCCCAGCTCAGGAGACTGGAAGTCTGAAATCAAGGTGAGTATATTATCAATGTCTAGTACTTAATCTGATCTGTGAGAGAAAAAACTCAGAGTGGGGAAAAAGAGGGAACAAGCCTCCTGGATCTCTTTTCTAGAGCATTGGTATAGTCTATGCTATACCACTGCCATAATAACATACTGCAGGCTGTAAAATTATAAGCTAAGGAATTATTATTTTCTTAACCACAGGCTGGGAGACTGGGAAGTCATTAGCAGATTTAGTATCTGGTGAGCAGCTGGTCCTTGTAGGGGACTCTTTCTGTGTGCTCCCACATGGTGAATAGACAAACAGGCTTCACTAAGGCTCTCTATTGAAACACTAATCACATTGTAGAGGGCTCACCACCATCTCCCAAACCACTGGACTGAGGCTCTGACTCACCACAAAGGAATCTGAGGGGACAAAACCATTCAAACTTAGTAGACACCAGTCTCATTCATCAGGGTGTTACCTAATCCCCTCCAAAGCCCCCACTGCTACACATCCAGTAGTAGAATTTAAACATTTAAATAATGGGAGGAACATACATTCAGTTCATCAGAATGGCAAAGGGAAGAAAACAAAATGAAGAAAAAAAACAACAACAGGATAATAACATCCCGTAACACAAAAATTAAAAGGAGTTCACATCATCTCCACAGAACCAAATGTGGTACTGTGTTTGCGGCTGATTCTCACTAAAACTTTAGGAATGAGAGGCTGACTGAGGGCTTTGAGGTTTTGGCACAATAAAATAACTAAAATATTAGTCCTGACATCACTCATCACCTCATGAAACTTTTCAAATAAAAAAAGGATAAAGGGATACTGGTAAAAATACTGCGTTCCCTGCTGTTATGGTGCAGGATTTTCAGTTCCTTGGGAATTGCTAATGTTTAAATGTTTCTTTTGTGTGAAGACTTCAGCTAGCATGGGAATGCCATGTCCTTTAGGTCCATCTGAGTCTCTGAGGGCCTGGTAGACAATGACATATAATACAGCATCAGCCTCTTGCTTGAATGGTACTCCATGTCTGTGTTGCCTAGTCTCCAGCAGCCAGCACGTCATCCCTGCAGTAAATATGCAGTTCCTCTTTCTGCTACTAATGCAGATGGCATGAGTAGTATGGCCTTCCCTCCTTCCTTCACACCCGTGCCATTTCTACTGACTCCTTGGAGGAGATTAGGTTCTTCTAGGAAAGCTAATGAGGCATTGCAATGGAGGGTGTGGATTAGGATGTTCCCATCTGTCTGTCTGGTGAAACCCTCACCCCTAAAGGCTTAGCACCTTGTATCGCCACCAGTGGGGTGACTAAAGAGGGCTGTGAGTCAGGCCTACAGAAGGATTCTTCACAGATTTCTACTATCTCATCTAGGAAGGCAGATGGGGCTTTTATGACCCATTCCCATCATTCCTTAGGTGCCTCACCAGCATCACCATCGGATAACTCAAAGCCTGTGGAAAAGTCATGGGTAAAATTGCTAAACACTGTTAGCTGACTCCTGGAGGCTAAAATCATCATAGTCTTTATGTAGTGGTAAGAATAATAAAAATAGCAAAACTTAGCATTGTGAGGATAAGGCAATCTGAATTATTAGTTTCATTTATAAAAAAAATTGTTTTGAGACAGGCTTTCATGTAGCCTGAGCTAGCATAGCCAAGAATGACCTAGTTAGTCATCTCTCTGAGGACTGGTATGCACCTCTATGTCTGGATTAAAAAATTATGATCATTGACTGAAATGCAAATTGGGAAGATTTCATCTTGCCACATGTTCAACTTCAAATATTATATTATTGAACTCATTCATCTATTAAAGAAATCATTGTCATAAAAGCATAACAAAGATTTAATTAAGTTTTAAAGTATGCTTAGTATTAATCTGGTAACTTTCCGTGTTCCCATAGTATTAATCTGGTAACTTTCTGTGTTCCCATTTATTCGTTCCAATAATACCTGACAAACTAGATGCTTTCAGCAGCCCATTTTCCAAATACTAACACCAAGCACAAAGGTTACGTTGCCCAGTGCTGTAGAGCCTCACTGTTCAGCAGTCTCTAACTGAGTTTCTTCCTGAGTTTGAAGTAGATGAAATCTAGGACCGTCTGGTTACAAACGATGTGACCTTAAGCATGCTAGACACATTTAAACCCCAATATTCTAATTAGTAAGACAAAATAACTGTAAAACCTATGTCATGAAGTTGCTCAGAGAATTAGGTGAAGTGGGAACCCAGTCACTAAAACTGTTCTGTGTCCAGAAGGACCACAGCACGTCTGTAAGTGGGCCTGTGGCTATTCCATTGCGACTGTCATCACTATCAATGTGATCCATAACCCCAGCATCTCTGTACTCGTTAGTTCTTTAAGAAGTCTGAAAACCCCATAGTTTTGTTGTAAGTTTCATATCCTCATTTTTTTTGAAAATTCCTTAAAACTGCTTTTCCAAACTCAGAAAAACTTAAGTAGAAAGCAAAACTTCCCATAGTCTTCCTCTATCAGAAAAAGAAGTCGCTGCCCTCCCTTTGTTTCTACACTTGACTTCTGCCCCTCCACCATCCTCACTATTTAAGGAAAGAGCATTCAGTGAAGCTTGTTAAAGCAAGCAAGGAAGACTTTCTGCAGGGCTGCTTCGAAGTGTATAGGGACCATAGCAATGTGTTTGTTCAGTGATGGAGAGGGGATAGGTGCAGACCCAGATGTACTGGGAAGGCAGGAATTTATAACCAACAGAGTGTGGGCACATTCAGAGTCAGAGGATTCTGCTAAGACCCTAACAGGATTCTTGTTGAAGCTGGGCCAGGGAGGCCAGACACCACTTGGGGATGGGAAACTCTGAGGAACATGATCAGAAATGAAGAGCCACTGAGGATGAGGATTCTTGCTAAGTTGACTCAGTGGGGTGCTGCTGAACTAGTATTTTAAAAGAAGGAGGCAACCAGATCCTACTGAAGGAGGGATCTAACTGAAGTTTGGTAAAAGCAAAGAACATTTCCCCCAACCCATTTGCATTTGCTCTTTCACTGAATAAATAATCCCTTCTGAACTGACCATGATGTGCTATAAATGTTAGTACTCTGTCTAAACTCCACCTCCAGTTACCTGGCAACAGCCAGGTAGGCCTGCCCACTATAAAAGGGGCTGCTTGGCCCCTCCTCTTTCTCTTACTCTCTTGCTCTCTTACTCTCTTGCCTCTAGCTCCTCTCTGTCCCCTTCCCCTTCCCCCTTCTCTTCCCCCTCTCTCCAGGTGGTCATGGCCAGCCTCCCCCTCCCCCTCCCTCCCCCTCCCCCTCCCCTCCTCCTTCTTCCTCTCTCTCTCTCTCTCTCTCTCTCTCTCTCTCTCTCTGCTACTCTCCTGGCTCCCCTCCCCATGCCCTGAATAAACTCTATTCTATGCTATACCGGTGTGTGACTGGTCCCTCAGGGGGAAGAGATGCCTCGGCATGGGCCCGCTGAGACATCCCCTTCCATCATTGGTAGAATTCTCACCTGCCATACGGGAGGCCCGGGTTCGATTCCTGGCCCATGCACCAGTGTTAGACTTCGGGGCACAGCTTAGAACAGAAAACACCAGACCAAACGGTTCCAGGGGAGGTTATTTAGGGCAAAGGGCAAAGGTGGGGGGAGAGAAATGGGAGAAGATGGCGGAGAAAAGAGAGCAAGGTCAGGGAGTTCTGCCTATTTATATGGGCAGTGACGTAGCCTTTTCCCAGGTAACGGTGAGGTAGCCAGGTAGATTCTGGGAGTGTATGGTGGTTGCCTTGGCAACAATGTAGAGTCGTCTAGATGTGAAGTCACTGAGTTCGGGCCTGATACCAACAATAATGATGAACACCACACAGGGTTTCTGCCCTCATGGGCCTCACATTCTAGTGAAAGAAGGAAGGGAAGACAGACAAAAGGAACCAAATATGAATCCAGTTAGTAATGTGGACAACAAAAGCAGGGCTGTGGGGGAGAAAATGAAGGAGGTAGACCCAAGTGGCTAGGATGGGCTGTGTGGGAATGAGGCATGGTAAAGACCTGCCAGAAAGGTGAAAAGCTGAGAGGAGTCAGAGGAAAGGAAGCAGGAAGTGAAAGGCTATTGAGGGTCACAACTAAGGTCTGGAGCCACTGAGAAGGTTAAAAAAGGGTAGAAAGAGTGGAGGTGGAAAGGTAGGCGGGGTCAGAGCCTCCAGGGCTCTCTGGGCCCCTGGAGGGTTAGATTTCATTGAATTGTGATAGGAATCCCCTGGGGGAGAGCAGAACTGGAGGCTGTGTGAACGGCTTGTCACTTCTTCCTCTCTGTTGTAATTCTCAACAATAGCAGAAACAACAATTGCATTTCTAGAGCCTGGACAGTGACAGTGTCTCTAGAGACACATGAGACCAAACCAGTGTGAGCACAGGACAGCACTGTGAGAAGGGGTTTCAGTTTAGCTCCACTTCACACATCCGTCCGATCATCTGCACCAAGTTAGAGAGTTAGGACCTCACTGTCTGACACAAATGAGAGCAGAAGGGACTGGTTTCCAAAGGCTAACCAAGGAATATCTGCATTTCAGCACTTGAAAATGAGAATTTTGTTCATGAAATATCAACTTTCCGTTGGATCAGAATTATCTGGGGTAACACATTTAAAACATAGAAGTCCTAGTACCAGCCTTTGGTGGGAGCTCAGGGCACACCCCTTGAGAGCAGGCAGTTGAGGGCATTGTGAAGCAGCTAGTTATGGGTACACAGACCTTGACTGGGTTCTGGATAGCTTAAATGCTGTGGGTGAGGTTGTGCTTGTGGAGAGCAGCCCTGCAAAGGTCACCTTCGTGGGACCCTTCAACAAAGGAGAGCCATGGTTCACAGAGGGTAGAGGCTGGAATGGATGACATACAGGCTGTCCGTGAATAATGGCCTCGTAAACAGGGCCCAGAGCTGGAGCTGAGAATACAGCCCACCTGTGGGTAACATAGAGACATTCCCTACTTCTGTCCCAATGACTCTGTCTTTCTGAATTGGAAATGGACTCAGTAATTACTGAATGTCATGTGGCTTTAGAACTCTTGGGTGGAGCCTTAAGCCTCTATCTATACTAACCTGCGGTCTTGTTTGTTTCATCTCAGAAGTTTTGAGTGGTAACTTTGACTTTGGGGATTTCCCCCATTCTTTTCCATGGGGTCTCCTCTCCAGTGAGCTCATTTATTGATACAGAATCCCAGGAATACAGCTCCAGTCAGGTGTAGGGAACTAATGGCCCAAAGTCAAAGGGCAAAGGCTCTTTTCTACCCCATTAACACTCATCCTATTAGAGATGGACAGTACACTATTATTTCATTTTAGTTTAGATGTTTGAGTGCTACTAGGAGTAGAATTCCATATTCCCTAGCTCTTATGCCTCCCCTTGTGGCCTTGGCTAATACCATCTATAGTGGGAGCTGGTGCCCACCCCACTGCCCAAACCCTGCCTACTGGGTGCTCCTAAGGTAAGCCCTTGCTTTGCTCTAGTCCATCTGGCTCTGGCTCACATTGTACTTCCCCTGGAGGACTTTATAGCTGATCTTCTTTGGCAAAGTGCCCTGAAAACATGTTTTGTTCATTCTACAAATTACCTAACCTGGGGAGAGGAGGAGGGGAAATGAAAGAAAATTGAACAGCATCCTAAATAACTCAAAACCGTTTCTATGGACAGCCTGGAAGGCTGGCTGGTGTTGGGGAAAGAATTGATCTCTTGGTTCATGAAGATGAATCCTTTCAGGCTTTATAGGATGGTGCATTTCCTTCAGTTAGTTTACAGTCTCAATGACAAAGTGCTGGCCCTTGGGACTCCATAGCTGATTTATGAGATGTTGTGACTATGGGCACACCAGAAGAATATCAAATGGCAAGAACAGGGTTTGGTGTCATGACAGAAGGCCTGTTTCACAGTCTTATTAATGTCTAGAGAAGCACTTCTCAAACATAACCAGCTTGCACCCCAGGGGAGAGACAAGCGAGGGTCAGGCTGGAAGTCCCACAGGAAAGAGCAGAGCCATACTAATGCCCTGCTCTGTTGCTGTCGGTTACGAATTGGCTCTTTCTGAACAAGGTTTTCTCACAAAACCATTTGCCATTGGGTAGCTAGTGAGAGGTTTTAGAAAGTTTCATTAACTCAGGCCTGGATAAAAAGGCCTGAACCAGGAGAGGACTTGAAACCTAGGTATGTGCAAACAGAAACTGTCATGTGAAGAGTAAGGATTCAAGCTGAGAAAGATGGGAGGGAGATTCAGCAGTGTACAGGGATGCATATTCGAAAGTTTGAGCCTTGCGGTTGCCTGGTGATGTTGAACTCAGCCTCTTTCAGCCTTGATGCACATCTGAAAAATGAGAATATGTCACTGAATGAGGTTACTTGTGAGAATATGTCACTGAATGAGGTCACTACTGCCTGTTCTCTGTAGCCTTTATTTAACTTGGGAAAGGCCTGGGGCCAGGCCTGAGCCAAAAGGAAGGATGGAAGGGAGGGAAGGAGGGAAAGAGGGAAGGAGGGAGGGAGGGAAGGAGGGAGGGAGGGAGGGAGGAAGGGAGGGAAGAAGGGAGACAGGGAAGAAGGGAGAAAGGGAGGGAGGGAGGAAGGAAGGGAAAACAGAGAAAGGGTCTGTTTAGGTGGTCCTTTCTTTCCTGACCCACACTGTTGGGAGACATGTCTAGGGATTTTCTTTGTTAGTTATTCTCAAAAATATGTCTATAATTGTTAATGAGGTGTTAGTCCTCCTATAGATACCTTATTTCAGTCAGACACCATCACAGTGTGAGTAAATTCATGCCTAGCAACACCTCCACTAAATGATGATGGTGGTGATGGTGGTGATATAATTATAATAAAGAATGACCCCAGACAAGCAAAAAATAAAGTTGAGATGACAGTTTTCCCACAAGTGGGAACAGGACAGTTTCCAAGCCCCTCTATAAGATAACGACAGCATACAAATGTCAATATTGGATAACGGGTGTATGCTGAGTGTCTGCTTGCTTACAAGGAACTGGTACAGTGCGCTAAAGGGAGGAAGTGTGGCTTGGTAAGGAAAACCCCGACTTCTGGGCTTTCACACAGTTGCCATGGTTCTCCTTCTGGCTCCATGGGCTTGGGCTAGTGACTGAACTTTTCAAATGATGGTCTCCTTACTTACTGAGCAATAACACCGATGTTCAGACCAAGGGCCGTGGTAAGGCTAAGTTAGGCTCTGAGTGCCTGAGTTACAGTGAACGGGAGTCAGTGTTCTTGCTGTTACAGAAGGAGAAAGACTCTTACAGTCAAAAGTCACAAAACCACTCATTTCTCTAAATGTACCCCCGGCACAGATGCTTTAGTGTTGACAGCCGCCTCTCTCTTATTCCTTCCCTGTCTTTTCCCGATCCCTCCATCATTTTAACTTCCAGGATTAAAAACTTCCAGGATTAAAAACAACAGACATTTACAAGTCTCAGTTATTCCCCAAATTCTAGGAAGGAGTTAAAGAACAAGGACATCCAGACACAATCTGTGTCTCTCTTTTAACTCAGTGTTTGCAGAAAGATAAGCTAAAGGATGCCCCCTTTATTCCTAAAACTCAGGGTAGCAATAAAGTTTGCCTTTGGACTTAATCGTCAGAACATGCGTCATTAGATCCATAAAACAGCTAAGCCGGTCAATTCAAAGTATTGGATTTGTGTTCTTTCTCAGCAAAACAGCAAATGTGCATTCATGCGTTTGTGTGTGCACTTTGTGTGTGTGTGTGTAGAAAAGTAAATGAATAAATAAAAAGAGGAAGGGCTTTCCTCTAGGTGCAGTTCCCCAGGTGGGGTTTAAGTCTCTAACCTCTTAAGGATGTCTTAAAAGCTATTGTCTTTGTGTTTTTCAGGTACTCCCCTCTGGGTATCGCCTGCTTGATCTGTGGGAAGATCATCGCCATCAAGGACTTAGAAGTGGTTGCTAGGCAGCTGGGGATGTACATGATCACGGTGATCGTGGGCCTCATCATTCATGGGGGCATCTTTCTCCCCTTGATTTACTTTGTAGTAACCAGAAAGAATCCATTCTCCTTTTTTGCTGGCATTTTCCAAGCATGGATCACTGCCCTGGGAACAGCCTCCAGGTAGAGACAGCAGAAAATACCTTCTCCACATTGGTGCTTTTGTTCCATTTACTGCTTCCTGTGTCTCTCCCAAATCTTCAAATTCACACCTTTTCACAATGTATGGGGGTATTTTCTACAAGGTGAACCACATTGAACCTCTGGCTTCTCCTGCACACTGCTGAAGCTCCCAGTTAGCCTGTGGGTGGTCTGCAACTGGCCTAGAAACAGGACCTCATATTAAGTGTTTAGGTGTTGCACACTGTAAATTCACATGCCTAACATTACATGAAGTCCTAGTGTAGCTTAAATATTATCCAGAGGGTATACCATGATGTTGTTCACTTAACAACTCACCTGTGATTTAGAATTCTTGTTTTTTTTTTTTTTTCTTAAAGAAAAACCTCTTGAGGTTTTGGCTAATCATTTTTCAAAAGTAAGATAATCAACTTATATTTTAAAAGATATGTCTATTTTTATATCGTGTGTACTGACTGTATGTGTATGGGTTTGTGTACATGGCTGGTGTCCCCAAAAGCCAGAAGAGGGAGTTATAAGCAATTGTGTGCTGTGTGATCTGGATGCTGAGAACTGAACCCAGGGCTATGTGCAACTGCTGATCAGGCCCTCACCAACACTAGGAGAACCAACTTTCATAGGGTAAATGGTAATTTTTCCCCAACAATTAGAAACAAGCTAATTCTTTGACTTTAACAAACCCCTTAAGGAACAATTCTACCCTAATCTTGCCCACCTCAGATTGAGTTTAAATGACTTGACCTTGATAGAAGTTAGTTCCTGCTTCCTTATATATTTTCAGAGCCTAGGCAATCAATAAGGACCTCAAATATAGGAAACAAAAATTATCTTTAATATAATTTTGGACAGATGTTAGACAAAATACAACAAAACAAAGGGGAAAAATGCACTCAGAATCTTAGAATTTCAAAGACTGGGGAGTTTTATTCTTTCAGATTGAAATTGGTGTTTTGCTTCTGATTTTGTGTCTTCCTGTCATGAAATTGAGCTGAGATCATAAAACACTAGGCAACTCAGAGCCCAGCAAATGCTAAAACCCACAGTGGGAGACCACCAGTTCCAGCTGTTGAGCCCATGGTGATGTTTCCTTCTGGTGACATTCCCACTCAGTGGCACAGCATGGCTGGACATTCCAAGGCCCTGTGCAGGCTGTCAGAGTCTTCTCAAGTGACCCAAAAGCCAAGTGGGAAGCCAAATTGTATTTGCATATTGCAAACCAATGAGAATTCAATATGAAAAGCATGTGAGCTTTCAGCAAAAGGTTGAAATGCGTACAATTCTGGGGACCATATTTAGTAGCCTGTTTCCAGAGATTAGGGGAAACACTTCAAAATTTCCCTTTTGCTTCCTGTTGCTTTATATTCCCTGTAGATAAATGTCCATATCCATGAAAATGCTTCTCTTTGTAGAAGAAGTTAACCATCCCCCTGCAAAAGCCAACCTTATTTTGTTATCTGATCCTAAATGTGGTATGTCACAATAGTAACGAGGTTCAGTCAGTGAATAAAACTTTGAGGAAGACAATTAATCTCACCAGATAAGTATTTCTTCAGCTAATAACAGCAGGCAATAACCTTGTAGTTAATCTTCATATTTATAAATCTTCTATTTCTTTCTATGCTACTCTAGAAACTTTTATTTTTCTTCTGACTCAAGAGACCATGAAAATCATAGCTATTAATATAGATCTTTGCTACTATTTTATGAACTTCATTATAATATATAGAACATAAAAGGCTAGAGAAATGGCTTAACTGTTAAGAGTATTTGCTGCTCTTGCAAGGGATCTGGGTTCGGATCCTGGTACTTGAATGGCAGCTCACAACCACCTGTGTCTCCAGTTCCAAGGAGATCCAACATCCTCTTTTGGCTTCCATAGGTGCCAGGCATACACATACATACATGTAGGCCAGACACTAAAACATGTAAAAATAAAATGAAATGATACTAATTGTGCTGGACTGCACTTCATGTCCAGAGGTGTAAATCTAAAGCATGTTGGTTAAACAGGACTCTGACAAATATCTCTGCCAGGTTTTCTGATGATCGCCTTAGAATACGTTCTAGACCTGCCTGGACTTTCCGAGTCAAGGAATACACACGGGCTGTTTTGAAATACACTGCGGATTAACACTTTAGAAAGTCCAGAATGTAATGTACCTGCCAACTGTGTTTGAGTGTCCTTCTCCACCCACTTGCCAGAGCTGGGTATTCCACATCTCTGTTGCTTTGATGCATTCCAGTCTTAATGGTGGGAAAACTACTCAGCAAATTTACATGTATTTGATTACAGATGGGGGAAAACATCTTTTTATTTCTTACTGCCTTTTCCTCCCCGTTCCTTGCCTCTTAAGTCATGTGTGAGCCAGCTCGTTTTTCTTTGTGAGTACTCATCCTTTCCTGGATGGTTTTCAAGCTCACTTTATGTATATGAATTATTAACTCTTACATCACATGCTACAGATAAGAAACCTCCCTCCTAGACATCTGTCTTGGAAATAAATACTATTTTTTTGGCACTGGAAGTATTTAATTTGTATATATTAAAAGCTATGAATACACTTTTTTTTAAATTTAGAAACTCAGTTTTGCTCAAATATTTTTTCTATCCACAATTAAAACAAAATACTTTATGTTTTTCTAATGCTTTCATGAATTTGTCTTTAAATTATTTCAAAAATGATTATTGTCTTTCTTGTGAATGGCCAGTTATCCTTGTAACTTTAAAAGACCAGACAACTTCCTCTCCACTCTTCCTGTAGAGAGGAAGAGATGGAGACATGAACAGGTGTGTTCACAGCAGTGGGAGCTCATGTCACCATGCTTCTCATGGTGACAATCAAGTAACAGAGATGGGACCAGAAACAGAATCAAGGCTTAAGAACCTCAAGGTCCATTTAAATGGTCTACATCCACTTAAATCTTAAAAGGTTCCAAACAGGGCCATCTTAACAACAATAGCAACACTGAGGGTTTTTGATGAATATGAAGACCAGCATCAGAGAGGAATGTGTTCCAGCTCTCTGGCTTCAGAGCATGCTGGGGCAGGGTGTATCATTTCATAGGAAGAATTTCAATATTGGACACTATTATTAGCAACATCATTGGCCCTCTCAGATGGGAGCCAAAAAGCAATGGCACAGTGTCAGTCTGCCAGCACAGGAAAGCACGGAAGTTCTAAAGTCCTAGTTTGGGTCAGACAAGTGTATGTGGATTTGGAGAACATAAACATCAAACTCACCCAGTAGAAGAATAGGGACTGACTTCATGCTTCACAAACGATTTCCCCAGTCTCTCTGTCCAAAGACCCTTTGATGATAGTTTGGAAAATGCAACAAGAAAAATTAATACATTTTAGTGATCTGAGGAGTATGCGTTGAGCAATATGGTTGAGAATCCCAGCCAACAATGACTAAGTAGCCATTTCAGATCAGTTATGGTATCTAGGAAACCCTCTGAAACAGTCCCAGGAAGTGCAGAGAGGGAGTAAGGGGAACACAAGGACACCAACTTCTAATAGGATCAGCTGAGACAGCAAGCCAGGACTACGGTATCTCTTGCCTGCAAATGAGAACAAAGTCTCACTTTTTACTTGGGTTAATAAGACTTTTGTAAACAACATCCCCCGAAACACACATACCACCTAATCAATTGACTTCTCCTACCGTAAGACCAACAGGAGGTATTGTAGAGCCCTGACCTATAATCACAAAAAATGTTCTGTCTGGTAAGATGATTCCTCAGTCAGTTTAAGATGTGGACTTGGGTGTCCCTTATTTTATAGCTTACAGATTTATTGGTCTTGAGTAGGCTCTGGAATCCACACATTTCTAAGCTGATATTTTTCTCCCACTCTAAGAAACTGAGGCCCTTAATAATGTGACCAGTCTTGTTGACATCCATTTATAACCAGTGTGAGAGAGTAACTATGACCAGGGCTTGAAAATACCTCCAAGTGCTGCCTGCACTGGAAATTTCCAGTTCACTTAAATAAGATAAAATTAATCAAAGCAAGACAAACTGTAAACCAACCAGTGCTGTTTGGTTCCTTTGCTTGGTTTTAACATTCTTTAAACCCTAATCTCCTTCGTACCATTGTCTAAAAGGTTGCAATGTTCTGACCATGAGAAAGCCTTGTTCTCCTAGGTGTCCTATTTTAGAAGATGTAGGAACATGTCAAATGTTCAAGCCTCTAAGGGTGGGCCATGTGGGTGAATCACCAACCCATGCTTGGGAGGACTGAGAGTGAAGTCACTCCATACTCCTTTTAGCTACAGATCACAAGCTTTACTGCTCTGTCATTGCAGAGACTTAGGATTGGCTAGTGGTCATTAGAACTGGTTGGTGGCCATGTGTCTAGGAGTTTTTATGTCAGGTTCCTCAGTGGATTGTTCAAAGCTTGGGTTCATGCTAAAGGGTGTACAACATATTTGTCCAGCATTCTCTAAGTTAGTGAGCCCAACTCAAGACGATTCCCAGGGGCTGGATGCAGTCCATGCAGCCATTTTGTTGGAATAGCATTTCTGGCATGAGACTGTGGGTCATTCAAAAGTTCCTCATTATGTTTTGCTGTTGACAGCTGACATAATTTTATTTGCAGCCCAATTCCTGTGCACAATCAGATGTGCTTCAAGATTTACCCTAAGATGGAAACTGGGACTGAAGGACAGAGGACTTGGCAGGCACTGAGTAGCTCTGAGAAACCTGAACGAACTAAATATTTTGTTGCTAATCAGTGGCTTAATTAAAATTGTTCCTAGTTACTGCTAGTTTCTTGCAGTGTCATTCTGGTTTGTGCTTTGTCCTGCCTCTAAAGCAGAATCTCTCTCTCTCTCTCTCTCTCTCTCTCTCTCTCTCTCTCTCTCTCTCTCTCTCTCTCTCCTCTTATCCCCCCCCCCTCCAGTGCTGGAACTTTGCCTGTCACTTTCCGTTGCTTGGAAGATAATCTAGGGATTGACAAGCGTGTGACCAGATTCGTCCTCCCCGTCGGAGCAACCATTAACATGGATGGTACAGCCCTTTATGAGGCAGTAGCAGCCATTTTCATAGCCCAAATGAATGGGGTCATCCTGGATGGAGGTCAGATTGTGACTGTAAGGTAAGTGACATTCATGCAGAGGAAACAGAGACATGTCTCCTCAGTTCCCACTCCATACTAACCTCACTTGATAGACGCTCCTTTAGTTTCAGCTCTAGCAAGTCCACAGTGAAGGAATTACTGGCAAACTTCAAAGGGAGAAGGTCTGAGTAAGAAGGAAAGAGGCTCAGTCCCATCTGTATGTATTATACATGCCCACTGGAGCCCAGATCCCATTTTACTGTTAATAGTCCCATAAATTTGGCTGTGCAGTTATTTCTATGTTCAACCAACAACACAAGGTTGGGAGTATTGCGGGTTTGTCCAAAGCTATACTGCTACTCATGATCTGGCATGGCTGTGGCTGGGGTGACTTTTACTGATTCTGAGTCCAATTATTCTGTTATTAAAATATGTTCCCTTCTTGGGTAGGTGAGATAATTCAGTGGATAAAAGTACTTGACATCAGACATTAATCCTGAGGTCCTACATAATGGAAAAAGACAGCTAACTCCTTTAAGTTGTCCTCTGATCTTCATACATGTACAGGATACACATCTACACATGCCAAGTTAATATTTAAAACATGCTTTTCTCACTATTTTAAGGCACATGATGAACTACAAAGATTCCTCAGTACAACATAGGGTAATTGTGTATAAGTGGCACAGGGTTCTGCGTTCACTAAAGCTTTAACTTACTCTCTGTCTTTATTTATTTATTTATTTATTTATTTAGAGATCATTGTCCTGAGAGCTCATCTAAAATGAGCTGCTTCTCCACAAACTCAGTCTTATTTGTAGGTAGAGTGAAAGCTTCAGTCTTCAAACCACTCAGTGTTGTGTGGACACTATACCATAGCATCATTTTAGTATTGTCACATTGTGGTAAATGAGAAGACAGTTTCTGCCTTTAATTAAAGTAGAAGAAAAACAAAGCAAAACGAGCGACCAAACAGTGAGCTTCCTCCTGATCCCACTTACATCTCACCCCCACTCCCAGAGTCTCAAAGTCCTCATCTACAAATGAGGGAGGTATTTAGAACTGGGAACTGGGAATTGGCAGTTGGTGGGCTGAAGCAAGCCCAGAGCCTTGCTGTTTGCTTTGTAATATGCTGTAAAATAATTAGAATGTTAATGTCTTTTAAGACAGATGTTTTCCATTTACTGGCTACACCTCCTTCTTACCACCCAGACCTGGCCTGGTCACCTACTATCTACTGCCTGTTGCTTTAAGACATTTAGAGTTATAGCTTGGCATGTTGTGAATTACATTTTGTTTCTCTCTCAGATTCTATGAGATCAGTAAATACAAGGGAAGGGTGGATCACAGTCTGTGTAATCAATGTACTTGCTGGCAAAAGAAAATTCCAAAGAACTATAATAATCACAGCCCCACTGATTCATTCAGAGAACAGATTAGGCTGACAGGGAAATAACACTCAGCTTCTCAGATGAGAACAGTTCCAGCCCTGTGGTACCCCTGAGCTGGCATTCTTTGTGGCTCCCCTCAGACACTCCCAGCAGTCTTAAAAGGAAGGATGGCCACTGTCCTCATTTCATGGAGCAGTAATACAAGCCTAGGAGTGTTTATATGCAAGTCCTAGTTTCTAGGGTTTTTGGTGCCATGGACAGGAGTCACATGATGACTCCTTCAGCAACATCTTTCCATTCTGTACTCTTTCCTTCCTGATTTTAACTCAAAGGAAGCTCTTAGAATAGCGGTTTTGTTGGTCTTATCTGCATTGCACATAAGAAGAGGCCATATCCTTTGTGTCCAGATTCATATAGTGGCCTTTTCCTCCCGTCCAACCCTGAACAGCATGGTCCTCCTCTACTTTAGAAATTCTGGTGACAGCTGGTGTCTGTCTGGCCCACAGCTTATGAACTAGCTCATTCTTGGGGAGGTCTTTGGTGGTCTTAGGGTCACCTTAGGTGCTGTTCATAAGAGATCCCATTCATTTCTTTCTGATTTCTCTACATGTTGAGTTATTGGAATGCTGTACTCAAAATTAGCACTGGAAATTCTCAGTGTTTTATGAGTTAATACCCTAGAGGATCTGCCTTGTCAGGGCCGTGCCTCATTTGTCTATCTGGGAGCCTTTTAGACAGCTTGGAGCTATTTTTGCTGGGTTACCAGTTCCTTCCTGATAGCCATTCCAGAAGATTTTAATGAGTATTCCATACACATCAGAGCTTGGCTGAATAACTAAGTAAGAAAACAAAGAAAATGAAACTTCGCCAGATCTAACACATGATCTGGAAATACAAATAATGCCCCATGAAGCCACCTCACCTGGCAAATGAAGAAACTGAGGCTCAGAGAGCCCAGCCATCTAGAGGCTGGCTAAAATTCAGGTTCCCAAATTCTGATATATTCTTCTGCTTACTGAGGACCTTAATGTGTGGCCTTTGCAGTGGCTTTAGTAAAATGGGTATTGCGTTCTGCCTATCTCAGCTGGTGACAAAACAACCTGAAAAAAGAAAAAGCTTGCCCAAGATCATGTCTATTAGTGGTGCAGTAGGATTCAAACCCAGGCTACCTAAATGTGGGCCACACTGCCTCTGGTCTAATGCTATTGGGTTGCCTTTGTACATTGATTTATCTGACCTTCACAAACACCTTGTACAGTCTATTCTAGAGTAGAACCTCCATCTCCTCATCTGTACCCTGATAACAGCAATCACAGAATCAGGGTGGTTAGGTGCATCATACATGGTACATATCACATGTCAGTATATATCCTATTGGAATTGTTCCTACCAGTGACATTCAATAAAATATAACTGTTGTCCTATAATATGAAATGGGAAAGCAGCTGTGACACAGTGAGTACCACAAGTCACTCAGGATGGAAAACTTGTTTCAGATCCGAGTATCAAGCATGAATCTTGTCCAAATAGATATCATGTGAGTTCCCAACTTCCCATGCGTCAAAACTAAAGCCTTTGGCCAAGCAATGATAGCTTTACGTCCTTTCATTCTTGGCCCTGACAGCAATCAGGCTTACCTTGCAGTACACATTATGGGATTAGAATCAGAGCAGTGACTGAAGGATTGGGATTTCATTGGTATTACATAATTCCATCTACTTGAAATTTATTTCATATTAACAATGCTACTGTTGGAAAATTTCACTGAGCAAAGGAAAGGTTGGCTATATATGTTTAAATCTTTGCCTCTGGGCGAATTTAGCCCAATTCTCCTTAACCGTAGACATCTGAAGGCTCTGCCTCTGTAGGCACCTGTATGTCATATGCACAGTTCTCTGCTTGCAATGTATTTGGGGTAAAAATAGCCAAGTCTAGCTTTATGCTGTGCTATTGTTTGAATATTCATTCTCTCTTCTCCCTCATGTAAGAGTACAATGACCAAGAACTTCCTGTATATTTACTAAGTTATAGAACTTTTTAGGGTCATCAAGAGCCAGCATGTAGCAGAATCAAATAGAGGGGTGTCTAAATCCCAGAAGACCACATTGAATTTGTGTGACCCTAAGTTACCTAACCCATCAAATCCTTGGTTGTCTCATGGTAAAAGAAGCTGTTTATGTACCCTGCATGGTTACTGTGAGGTTCTGCTTTGATGTTGTGTATGTAGAACTTGGCACAGACTCTAGCAACTTGCCTCTAGAGAAGTCAGCCAGGGGAATGAAATCCCAGACAAAGCAGAATGGGTCAAGGGACCAGGAGGAGGCTGAGAAATTTTCTAGATAATATTGTCCATGGAGGGTAAAAGTTATTAATATTTGACTCCCAACAAGAATTTTCACAGTGCTTGTAAGAGTGACTCATGATCAAAACAACCCATGTTGTAAACCAAACAGCCAAGACTAAGGATGACTGGAACCTGGGAATCCCCTCTTCCTTTCTGTCCTGTCAATATTGGGGAAGGGCTGAAGAGTCTCAGCTGTCTGGGACTTTAGGGAAGTTTCACTCCCACAGCTGTCTCACCTTGTCCTTAAGTTCCGAATAAGGACAATTTACTTGGCTTGAGGGTTGTAATGTGTCCTACCTTTCTTAAGTGCCTTTGTACTTAATTGGTTCCTAAAAGCTGCTAGCCACCACATGAAAGAGAAACCCTCACTTATCCTTTGCATTGATGAGGAAGTCAAAGTACAAAGAAATACAGTTGCCCAAAGTCATGTATGTCGTTGGCAAGTGGTAGAGCTAGGATTTGAACTTAGGTTGTTTAAGTTCAAAAAGCTGCTAAACAATCTATCTGCTGTCTCAAATGGAGTTCTCTAAAATATACCAGCTCCAGGCTGGTGTGAGAGTGAAAGGGCACAGACCTGTTCTGCATCACATGCACCTAGGCATACAATAAACCTGAAAGGGGTAGCAAAATAAAACAAACATGCCAATCCCTTGGAGCTTCAGGGACCTTCAAGTTGTTCTCAGTTATAGGTCTTGGGATTCTAGGCTGGACCACACTGATGCCCTGACTTGGTCAAAACCTCCTGAGAGCCTGGAGTTTTGTGCCCACGTGCCTGCTCTAGAAATAGTTTAATGTTTTAACTACAAAGCAGGCAACCCTTGTTGTTTCAGTACACACAAAGTCACAAGAGAGCCCTATTTTCAGAAGTGTCTATTCAGAAGTGACAGCTCCAGGTGTGAGGATATGGCTTGCTTGTCAAACATAAGGACCCAAGCTAGATCCCAAAATCCATATAAAAACCCCAGGTATGGAGGCAAGTGTGTTTAATGCTAACATGGAGAGTGGAGAGACAGGCAGATACCTGGGACACAGCTACTAGCAGGTGAACTCTAACCCAATGAGAAAAACTGCCTCAGAGAGGGTGAATAGTATCTGAAGATAGCCTCAGAGATTGTCCTCTGACCTCTACAACATATACACTAATATGCACATGTGCACCCTGACATACACACTCACAAACAGTTAAAAAATAATAAGAGGAAATGATTGCTTCTGTAAAATAACATGGACAAAGATGAAAAATGTCACTGCCAGTTGGTGAGCCTCAGAAACCCTCTGTTATGTAGACAGGACACTTGAACCCAAGATTAAACTTTAAACTCTGGGGAAAGTATGCTTTCCCCCAAAATGGTGCCAGGTATGCTCCTGCTATTGCTTGAAAAGTGGATGAAAAGAGAGAAGAGTTGAGAAATTTCCCCTTTTTCCATTACCATTATGTGGCACCCTCTTTCTGAATAATGCATTTTCCAGCCACGGGAGAAATGTCCAGGCAAGTGAAACTGAATGTATCTTGGAATATGTTGTTTGCTTCCCCTAATGAGTTGGTTCTGGATGTTTTCTATTACAAATTCCCATGCTAACATTGGCAATGAACTCCTCAGACTCTTGCCACGTAGTCTGAAGAACTGTGGCATCCATAGACACTTGGGGGCATAACCAGAAACGAACGCAGTTGTGTTCCTATAGGAGAGTGAGGGATTTATTTCTTCATTTTTAATACATCCATGTCCACTTTCAGAGCTTCGCCTCCTTTAATCCTGTGTACATTAGACTAACTGGATATCATGCCAAGGATATGACTCCAATCTGTGAATTTATGAGTGTCCATCATTGCTGACCTCAGTTCCTGGGTATTAGTATTTCCTATTTCTTTATCCCCTGGAAAATAAAAGGAAGAGATTTTTAATGACTGAGGGGACATTGGAAGGTTTTGTTATTGCTGCTGTTCTTGTTGCTTTTTTTTAAACATCGCTAAGATCGCCAAGACACTTTCTCTCCTGTGACCTGGGCGTCTCTGTCCCTGCAGCCTGACAGCCACCCTGGCCAGCATTGGTGCAGCGAGTATTCCCAGTGCTGGACTGGTCACTATGCTCCTCATCCTCACGGCTGTGGGCCTGCCGACAGAGGACATCAGTCTGCTGGTGGCGGTGGACTGGCTGCTGTAAGTGCCTGTGGGTTGGGTTCTTCTGGGGATTGTGAGTGGGGATCCCCAATTGTGAGGATCCCAGCAGTGGACAGTTGACAAGTTTGCAATGAGACATTAGCCAATTCTCCATGTGCCCCTCCTCTCCCTTCTTCTGCAAAGGTTACCGTGTCTACCCAGGAGGACCAAAGAATTCAATAGTAATTTGAGGGGCTTGCAGGCTAGGGGAGGGATCGGGTAAATCATAATACAATGATAAAATATAGCAAAGAGAAGGGGCTTAGGATACAGTTCAGTTTGTAGAGTGTTTGTGTAGCTTCGGTTCCCAGCACTGCATAAACCAGGCAGCATGATTCATGCGTGTAATCCCAGAACTGGGGAAGTGCAGTTGGATGATGAGGAATTCAAGATTATCCTTGGCTCCACAGAGACTAGCCTGGACTATGTGAGGCCCTGTCTCAAAAAGAAAATATAGTTGTAATGATCCAACTAATGATACATGCGAAGGGTCGCAAAGCATCCTAGTGAGTGACTGGAGCCACATACAAAAGAATGTGCATGTAAATAACTGTGTCTGCATGAAGCTCTAGGAAAAGACACTATAGCCACAGCAGTAGAAAGTGATCAGGGCTCCCCTGCCATCATGGTGCAAGGAAAACTGAGGAATGATAAAAATGTCCCACATTCACAGGTATTTATACTTGTCTCACTATGTGTTTAAATAAGTGTGTACATTTTAACATACATAAATTTCAATTAAATAAGGCATATTTTAAGATAACATACAATTTGAAGCACAGTGATGGAAAGAGTTGTCTATGTCAGTCTAAGATGGAAGGACAAACAGAGACTATCAGAAAACAGAAGTGGTTGCCGAATTTGAGTGTGCAATGTGTGTGTCAGCTCCTGTAATAAGCTATACTAGTCTGAAAGTTTGCTGTTATGCCCATATTATAGGTCAGGATATTGAGGCTTGGACTCAGGAATGGGCAGAGATTTGACCCTAGGTTGGCCTAGTTCTGAAGTCCATCACATTCTTGTTCATGGTCAGATTCAATTTTCAGAAGGCAGGGACAGCTATACTCAGACATAACTGATAAGAAGCCCAGAGATACTGAGGTGGAGGAGAAACAGCGCTTACCTGTCAAGCCATCTCTACAAAGGCCCTGGGACAGTCAACACTGTGGTGTCTTTTAAGTGGAAGAAGGTGAGGTAAGATGGCCAATACTTTTGGAGTCCATGTAGGGAAGCTTGAATCTGACCATGTGCATTTAACCTGACTGCATTTCCCAGGGAAGAACATTTTGTAGCATAGAAGATTCATAGCCCACTCACAACTGAGCAAAAGCCTGCCCAGATCATCCCCAAGCAACGAGACTGGAATAGAGCTCCTCTAAGGGCCCTTATGAGGACACTGCTGTGTCTTGAGAATCGTGCCAATGGATCATGTCCACTCTTGGAGTTAAGTGATAGAGTGCTGGACAGTGTGGTGCACTGTGACAAGTACTGACAGAGACGGAAGGCCAAAATGCCTGCACTTCCTTTTCAAACTGTCTTGAAGGCAATGTTTTGATTAGAATAAATTCTAGGAAGAAGAAGCTACGTTTTGTGGACTTATGTTTTTAATTCCACCATACTCCCATTTTTCCAAAAATGCAAAACCTGAAGGGATAAAGGGCATAGGGAATGGCTGGAAGGAAGGCTGGCCTCTTTGTCTTTGGTGCCTGATGTTGGTGCAGTCAGTGTGGATAAAAAATCACACAAGAAAACAAAACAACAAAAAACCCAACCAAACAAACAACCATTCCTGAGCTGACATGAGAAAGAAGACCAATGAAAGCTTTTTCCTAGTTCTAAGGCTCTGGTCTCAGAGGGGCTGGGGCCATATGATGAAGAAAAAAGGAAGCACAGGGGATCTTGGGTAGATAAGCATCAGAATTGGGTTAGGTCTGCTTTGAATCAGTACAGATGCCACCACCTTCTTCCCTACCAGTGAGAATCCTAGAAACAAGCGCCTGAGCTTGCTAAGCTCTGTGGCTTTGGATGCCCACTGGTGTGTAAGTGGGAATGGGGGCTGGATTGAGATATGGGTGCAAGGCGAGGCTGGCTCTTCTTTAGAGAAGTAGTTGAAGGCAGAAGAGTAGAGAGAAAGAGAACATGATGAATTTTTTTCCTCTTTAGGCAAAGTCTGTAAGCTTTGTATAATGCTAGCAATTTTTTCATTTAAAACCAAACAGAGGCCACAGTGACATTTACTGTGCCACAATGTTTGCCAACTGCTGGAGCCCATCTACCCTCATTACAGCCGGCTAAGCCCTAGATGCCTGTCTGTGGGCAGGCTTAGCTGCTCTGTAAATGCCATGGTGAAAACCTAGGTTCTAGAGCATTTCAGAATGCCCAAGTCCTGAAGTATGGGAAAGGTGGGCCAGGTAAATACTTAGCTCATCTCCTAACAGGTTTCTCCAAGAAACCCTTTGTTTCAAATCTATGGGAAGATAATAAGGAGGGGAGACGAAAGGAGAACTGAAATAACACTGATACCAGAGACTGATAATCAATTCCTGGGCCCATCAAGATCTAGAAGGGAAAAGTCACATACAGTGCCCCCAACATGGACGTGTGGTCCACTTCTCATATGGCTCTCTGTGTTATTGCCCCTTTCTGGAGGGAGCAGAGCTTTGATCTTCAAACTGAGTCTGCAATCATTCTGATGTGGACCCAGAAGGTCTAGGGTGGAATTCAAGAGCCAGCATTTCTCAGTTCTCAGGTGGTGCTGGTGTTGGAGTCCAGGGATCTTAACTGTGGGAAAATAAGCCGAATGGAGTATGGAAGGAGTGTCTGATCAGCCAGGATCTCCCTGCATCCTGTTGTCTAAGCATCTGTATTGAGTGACTATTGCCAGCTTATGCACCCATTCAATGAAATTCTACTGTCAGTGAGTTAAGTGTTACACATTGTTCTGGTCACTTAGCCCTGATTCATTTAAAAGTTATAGCAAATAATTAGGAATTATGCCCTGCATAGTTGAGATAACTGACAGATGTGAAATTTATCGTTTCATTTTTAATGGTTATTAAATGACTAATATATAATTCAAATAGAGACAACTTGGATATTTCTTAAGTATTGTAGGGATGAGAAGATAGGTTCTCTGGCCCTTATTTAATCCATGTGAAAATGTTTTAAACAAACACACACACACTCACACACTCACACACACACTCACACACTACCACCACCCTACATACAAAACTTACTAAACTTCCACTCCATTTCCAATGGAAAAGAAAACCAACTCCTACACCCACTATCTCTCTAGAGACTCTAAAAGCTTTATGTTTCTGTCATTCTTTGGATTTTATTCTTGATGCACACAGATTTCTCCTCAGATCCTTTTGACCTGATCTCCAGTGTATGTCAGGTTCACTGTGGAATGGCCCAAGGCAAGGCAATCATAGATCCAGAGGCTAGGCGCATGCCACAGCATGAACAGCCACGCTATCTTGAATATGTCACAAAAGCTAGAGTCAGAAAGTGAAATGGAAGTCTCTTTCACCTGCAATTGAGTTCTCTGAACCCTGAAATTACAGTTATGATGTATCAGCATAGAAATTTATTTTTTTATAAAAAAAGCATTTTTGTTTTATTTTTATTTATGTCTATGTGTCTCTGTGTAGAGATGTGCATGTGAGTGTGGTTTCCTGGTCCAGAATAGGGTTTCAGGTGTGAGCTACCTCACATGGATGCTGAGAATCAAACTCAGGTCCTTTGCAAAGAGCAGTACAGGCCTGTAACTGTTGAGCCTGCCCCAGCAATGAAAACTTTAATCTTGAGGATCTCTTCCCCTAAAAACAACTCTGTAATGTCTGAAGATCACCTCTCAAAATCTTCCCTGCCTCAGCTTGACCATTTTCAGTCTTTATGTCTTGCCAAGTCCTCTTGTCCTTCTCTTTGAGTCTTTTCCCAGTTCTTCCAGTTCTTTGTCCACCTCTTTCAATCTGGATTCTATGACTCTCTCCTCCTCTTGGATGGTACTTGCATCTTTGCTTTTCACTGCAAATCTTGCCAGATGTTTTGCTAAACAAACAACTCTTTCTTTCTCTTCAGTTCATCTGCTTCTAATCCAAATGAAGGATCCATTCTGTTCTGATTCCTGCTCCTATCCGAGTTCCCCAGCCTGCCCCAGGCCATGCTGAGTGCTCACAACTCTCTCTGGTTTCTGTGTTCTCAGACTTAATCAAGTGTGATAGAAACCATTTTTTTAATGCCTCTGAACCATTCATGTACAGACATTTTTGTCTTATGAGTCTTCCCAAAGCAATATAGCACAGATGCTTACATAGTGTCTTCACCGTTTTGGGGACTGAGAGTGATCTAGAGGTGATTTACTGTATGGGGAGATGTCTGAAGATTATAAGCAAATGTTAGGACATTTGGTGTAAGAGACTTGAGCATCTATGGATTTGGATATCTGTGGGAGGTCCTGGAGCCAATTCTTCCCACAGAAACTATAAAACATGATCTCTGTATTCAAAGAGCTTACACACTAGCAAAGAACTTTCAAAACGACAACCAGATGTTGTGTGCTCAAGAAATCCCAACAGTGCTAGGTGAAAAAACAAGGGGTGTGCATCTGGTAGGAAGAAGACATGAACTCCCTACTTGACTAATGATAGCATAATCCCATGATCCGCTAAAGGGATGGTACTTGTTTTGTGCCTTATCAGTCTTTCCTATGCAAGGGGTTTTGTGGAGAGCCTCTCAGATGGCATGTCAGCAGTTATTATCTTCCCCAAGATGGGTATTGTTCTGATTCTGACAAATAAGAATGATACATAGGAAGAGCTATCTAACCTGCCTGTTAGAACCATCAGAGCATCTCAGGGTGGAATCCAATCATATCGTAACCAACAGTGGGGATTTTAGCCCTCCAATGCCAGCTAGCCCCAGATCAGGAACCCTAGGTGACCAGTTGCTGCTACACAGAGCTCCTAAAGACAGTCCATCACTCAGGCACTCTGTCCTCTGAGAATGTACATTATCCTTTGATTCTACCTGGTTAAATTCTGAAACTCTGAGCATTTGGTTCTTTCACATCTGCAACAATGATCATCTCATAGGATTCAGCACGTGACAAAGATCCAGACGAGCTGTGAGTGACCCAGACTTTCTGTGAGAACTCAGACCTGCAGACAGACAGTCTCTCATCTCCCTGCCAGAGGACTTGGACCAAGAGAAGAAAAGAGCCAGACTACCTTGGCAGTTAGTTTTCTTCAAAGAAGCCAGACTCAGTGATTGGTGTGAAGGATTGTTTCGCCTCCTCTTGTTTTTGATTCTTCCCAGCCCAGAAAGAAGAGCTGAGCCATTTATAGTGGATTCATTAAATGCAAGAGTCTGCTTCCAACTCCTTTACTTTCTTTCCGTCCTGGCAGTCAGAATCCCAGAGGTAGCACCAACAAGTCTATTCCTTTCATTTTATTTTTATCATTTCTTTTTTTGCTCTCTTTCCTTCCTTCTCCTCCCCTCTTCTCTTTCTTCTCTTACTTCTCTTCTCAATATCCCCCACCACCACAACTCCCTGTTTCTCTCTCTACTACTGAGGTCATCATAGAAGTTAGACTTTCCCAAGAGGCCAGGGGTAACTGTGATAGAAAGTGAAAGTTATTTGCTTATGGAAAAGTTTCCACATATGAACCAGAAATTCTAATATTCTTCTTGGGGTCAAAACTGTACTTCCCTAGAGTCAGTAAGACATTTCCCTGGTGGTTTAGAAGTTTCTTGTCTTTGCAGTATTTTCTGAGGGGGAAAAAATACAACCAGAATAGACATGATTGATCTCCTGACTGGGCAACTTGAGAGTTTTCCCAAGATGCCGAATGGCAGAGGAGGGTGGCAGGATGAGACTTGGTCTCAGTTGGATTTTTGCAGTTTGATATACATCCTTTAATTTATGTCATCCTTTAATGTATGTCAACTCCTCGAGGAACCCACTTGCATAAACTTTCCCTCTGTCCCTTCTCATCTATGTCGATAGAGTTGAGTCCCTCTGACAAATTGTGACCATCATTAGTTTACGTAGATGCCATCCTTTCAAATCTGTTCAGAACATATGGCCAGAGATCATCATCATTTCTCTGACCCTTCAGTCCTGTCTTCTCAATGGGCTTCTTTTCCTACTTAATCACCTTCACACATTTCACTTTCAAAATAAAAACAACCCAGAAATCCTTTTCTGTATTCTCTGCCGTCAACTGTTTCTTTTCTTTTTCTGCTTTTCCTTCTAGGAAGAAGAGGTTTATATAGACATCCATAGTGTTTCCAGATCTCCTTACAACTGCCACACAACTTAAAAGAGCCAGGTTCTGTTCTTATAACCTGCTCTCAGTGGATCAACAACAGTCTCTTTGTCACTAAAACGTATAGATACTTCTTTTATTCTATGGACTCAAGGGGATAATTGACATTGTTGGCCACACTCTGCCTGTTATAGGAATTCGAGTAAAATTAGGGTTAATGTTTTCAAAGGGAGACAGTAGCTTAACCAGTCATGTTTGGATGTGTTGCCTAGAAACTTCCAAAATACATTTGAATTGGCTGGATAAAACTTATAGTAACACTATATGTACTCATAATCAGGTTAAATAGCTTTACAAAATGGTTTTTAGCAAGTGCTTGAAACCGTGATAAGCATTTTGTTTATATTGCTTTGCTGTCATAGCAACCCTGTACACTGGCCCTATTTGTTATTTCATTTTTGAGAAGGGCCACAAATATTAAGATGCTCAGAGCTTCCAGCAGGTAAGGGACAAAACTCAAATTGAATCTGAGCCAGGCAGCCTTGCAAGTCCATTCCTTGATTTCTTTTTCCTTATGGTGCCATGGGTAAAACCCAAGTCCTCGCGTATACTACATAAGTCCTTTCTCTCTGAGCTACAGCCAAGCCATTTATTTTAGCTGATGTAAATAAAATTATACACAGAAGTTTGTTTTAAACACAAAATCACAATTATATATATTAGAAGTACCCCATAATATTTTGATGCATATGTAGTATCTTAATTGAGTTACGTATGTATGTCTTCTCAGACATATTCTCTTTATGATAAAAACTCCTCACATCCTTCGTTTATCGTTGAGGTACACGACACATTTCTGCTGTCCTAGTGACCCTGATGTGCAGTAGCACAGTGGACTTTCTTGCTCCCATATGACTGTGCAATGCATAGTCTTAAATGCTTGCCCTGTGCTCCTTTTTATACACTTGTGCTGGGGGTTCTTAACCATCAGCTCCAAGTGATGTGGATGTCCTCAAGCCTAATTCTTCATTCAGGTGCAGACCCCACCACCCCTCACCACAGCCAGATTCTCAAGAGCCGAAGAGGGACCAGTACATTCCAAAAGTTCAAGTTCAACTCTGATCACTTGACCCCCCCTGCCCCCCCCCACCCCAGCACCATGGGCATATGTGCCTGGTTGCAATCAGGACAGCTGGACTTACAGGGGAGCCACGTCAGGTTCCTCCTAGTGTGGCTTCATTATTGCCGCTTCCTAATGACAGATAGATTTCATCACAAGAATGAGGCTTTACTTTAGGCCATTGTTCTAATTTTAAAATTAATGTTTCCACTCTGCATGTGACTCAGTCATACTCAGAGAATTTGAAAGGAAGGGGAGTGTCCTCAACTAAGGCTCTCCTGGTACTAGCATTCCCTCATCTCATGTCTCTTATCTTCACACAAACAAGCTTGTGCTTCCCAATGGGAGAGCACAGCTACCTTTAAGAACTCAGTGAGCTTCCCTGGTGCTGATTTTCTAAGACAAGTTTTTGTTTTGTTTTGTTTTGTTTTTTTGTTTTTTTCTTTTTTTAATCTTAATAACAACCACTTTTTTTTTCCAATATAGAATTTGCAACCTAAGCCATGAGGAGGAAAAATATTCTGGATACTTGCTCGTTCTAGCAGCACTCTGAAATATTCTTCTTAGATTCATAGAAAGAGCAATTTCTAACTTGACCTTTGTTTTTCATCTTTAGGGATAGAATGAGAACTTCAGTCAATGTGGTGGGTGACTCTTTTGGGGCTGGGATTGTCTATCACCTTTCTAAATCTGAGCTGGACACCATTGACTCCCAACACCGAATGCACGAAGACATCGAAATGACCAAGACACAGTCCATTTATGACGACACGAAGAATCACAGAGACAGCAGCTCTAATCAGTGTGTCTATGCTGCACACAACTCTGTCGTAATAGATGAGTGCAAGGTACCTTTCCCATTCCTGGATATCGAGACCTGCATATGAATAGTGCATGCTGGACTCCTTAAAAAAAAGCACCACCCCCTGCATCCATTCTTACCATGCTTTGTAAGTAATCATGTCACCCAAGCTGGCGGGGCCCAGACCATCTCACTTTGCATCCAGCATGGTGGGACATCAGCGAGTCTGACACCAAAAGGACCAATCCGTTGCTTGTTTCAACAGATTCCCACATCCACCTCACCCCTCTAATTTGGTCCTTAACTTTTGGAGCCAATAATTTGTGGTTGTCATAACTTTGATGGGCTTCCTATATTCTCTTCCTCCAAGGAAGGGTCAGAAAAAAAAATATAGACCAAATATCATTGACATTATATAGCACGAGTATTCCTCCCTACTCTGTATTACAAATTGCTTTTTTAAAAGCTCATATAAAAGTTTAATTGGATGTCTTCCTTTTATTTTTTATTTATATATATTTATTTTTTGGTGGGAGGGTAAGTTGTAGTCCAGCTTTTACTTTGCATCCCAAATGGGTATGCAGTTTCAAGAATAATTTCTTCCAAACCAGTATTTCAGACAGGATTTTGTTAATGCTAAGCATCACACACTCCAGTTCTCCTGCAGTGTGAGTGTTCTGGGTTTTCCTTCAAGCTGTTGGGTGCCAAGTCTTCAAGCTTGATGGGCTCTAGCTGGCCTTCACTGTAACTAACTTGACATTGACAAAGACAGTGTCGTGACCAGAGTGATGCAAACTTGGAGAAACCCTGGCAGATGGGAGAAGGTCTAGCTTGCTAAATGGTCAAGTGTATTAGCTGAGGCCAGTTTGAATCAATAGCAATCAATCCCTTCTACCTTTTTGATGCCTGTGGATACGATCACATTTAATCTTTCTTCCTTGGTTAAGTCTTGAGTCAAGTAGCACCAGTGTTTCTGCCAGAGTTACAGCTAACAGTTCCATCTACTGGACTGTACCATAGGTCCAGAGTACTAATGGACCAGAGAGTCTGGCTTGCTCTCACTATATCAAGTTCATGTGCAAAAGAGCCAGAACTCAGCTACAAACTGGGGGGTTAGACTATTCTTTAATTAACTAATTGACAAGACAAAAATGATTTCCGCTTAAAATTTTTCAGATAGATGTTTGGGGCAATAACCCATCTATTTGAAATGTTACTGCATTTCACATCCAAGTAAATGGGTTAAGTTCCTTTCCACAGAAATGTTAGTTTGGATTAATAAGGGTCATCATTCTCATGGAAGGACTTTTATATTTATCCAGTATTTATTATGTGCCTTCTATGATTTAGTGGTGTGCCCTCACCCCTTCCCTTGGCATCTCGAGTTTTGATCATTTTCCAAGTATTTACTGAGTGCCTATACCTATAGGACCCTGACTTATATACTGGATTTATACAAACAAGAATATGCAACATAATACAAGAGAGAAGGTTTCACCTCAGATCATTGACACTTAAGAAAACATAAGATGTGACAAAGTAGAATCTCCATATTATTTTTTTCTCTCACAGTTGTGGGCAAAAAGTCAATGGGAGGAGCCTCTTTGGGTAGGGGGAGCTTCTCAAATGGCTTCTTAATATTTTGGAGAGAGGGTTTTTAAAGTATAGTATAGAGAGATGGAGAGATAGTTTTGGATTTCAGACTTACCTACCTTTCATTTCTTAAAGATTATAAGAGTATTTACTATGTGTTTAAAGCAAAACTTTGCAAGCTGTAGAGGAAGAAACGTTGACCCTGTCACTATAATGCAAGCCAGTAAACAGTGCTCTTGGTCTCTGTTCATCGTCATCCTGTCCAACTCCCCAAACAGTGTCTGGGCTGTTGTAGGCACTCAATAAATATTTGTTGAATACAACCCACTAGCAGTGGACTCCATGCCATGTTCACATAGCCTTCTTTTTATTCGACAGTTCCATAGAGCTAGTTGTTCAGTTTCTCACAAAATTGACTACCAGATCAACCGTCTGCATCCTTGTAGAATAATTAACACTTAAATGGTCAATATTCAGTCTGAGCAGGCCCTTAGGATAGTGGATCTGGGTGTATTTGTTCTATAAATATCTTAGAGGTTTGTGTTGTTAGTAAGGTGATTGTCTTTAACTCTTTGAAGGGGATCCTAGCCCCAGGCTTCCCATTAAGTCAACTGTCTGTGTTGTCACTGATGTAGAAGGAGGCAGGCAGAGCTATGTGCATAGACACACACCCCTTTCTTAAGTATCTGGGTCAAATGTATTTATTTCTTTGGACTTTTTAGTTAACTCCCACCCTCACCACTTTTTAGGTCCAGGTTTTAGAGCCCAGCAAGAAGAGTGTCAATGCTTTTTGCCAAGGCCTACCCTTGACTAAACAAGACAGGGATAGAATGGGTTAGGGAGTGCTTTACAGATTTTGTTGGTTCAGCAAAGGTTCAACTACCTTTGGAATATAGGTCCCAGTATTTACAAACAAAAAGTAAATACCTCACACATGCTGTCTGGTTTTTCCAGGACATCACATTGTGACTGATAGCTGTGTACTGCCTAGATGTAATTGATCACTAAGAGCCAAATAGGCGTATTCAAAGTCACGAGGAACAAGCAGATTTCTCCAGTCTACCTCTGGTAGTTTTTCTTGTCAGTATATTGAAGGGGAAACCAGTTTGCTGCAGCTCTGGTCAAAATAACTACTTTCAAGCATTGTTATGTCATGCTCATCTCTTTATAACCGTAGTTTGGTGTTTTGCAATAGCCTTTTAATTCTCCCCTGGGTAACAGCACATGAGCCATGGCTGCTAATTGCATGGGCTTTCTAAGTGTATGGGCAGGGTGGGGAGCATGTACTAATGTGAATTGGATGAATGAATAGTTTTTTTTTTTTTATTGTCATTGCATGGTTCACGAAGGGCACCTAGTTCTCTGTTCCCAGCATGCTCTATGCTCTTGATGCATGCATTTCATTCCCACTTGGGTAAAAAGGAGGTCCGATTTCTTTCAAACTTTGCTGCATTTGTCATGTCTCCATATCCTAATGCTTCCATAAATCCAGTCTCTTCATTATGTGGAATATCAGTCGTGGGTTTAAGTTTGCACATGACCTTGAGGACAGACAGACAGAAGGTAAGCTAGGAAACCTGCTTAGAAGTGGATGGGAGAACTTCCCTCCTGCATAAAAGTTCAGTTCACTCTGGGCCAGAAAAGCAGAATATAATTATAAGTTCACAAATGTCTACATCACAATGATTTGGGATGCATCCCTACTGATCCCCCCACTTTCAAACATTTCCCGTTTTAATGTCTAATGCCAAGAAGACTTATTCAGTAGAGCCAAAACATCATCATTTCAGTAATTAAGGCTGAACATATAGGAAATTCCCCTGGCCTCACTGTGACTGAACCTTTTACATGCATGAGTAGAAGTAGCTGCCTAATTCTGGATTGCTTTCTGTATGGTTGTATGGAGTAGCACATGGCACTCGCTGTATTTTAAGGACTACAGTGGTATGTGATGGGTCTTTGGGTAGTGAGATATTCCACAACCCTAAAAATATTGCTCAAGTTGCCCTTACACTGCTGAGCATCTGTGATCCCTCAGTACCCTTCTGGTAAATATGGATAGTTCAACTCCTCATTTACTGCTGAACATCAAGATGGGTTCCAAACTAATTTTTGAAGGAATACCATTTAAAACTATGATTTTCGCATACACTGTAAACTCGAATCTGGTGCTTCTCCACATGACCCATGGGTGGTGTTTCTTGTGGTTCGTGGCCTGTAAGTTGGATGTTGATGGTAATTGTTTTCAGGTAACTCTGGCGGCCAATGGAAAGTCAGCTGACTGCAGTGTTGAGGAAGAGCCTTGGAAACGTGAAAAATAATGACCCGATTCTCAGCCAATTCTTGAATAAACTCCCCAGTGTATCTTATGGTAAAAGATGCTCTAAACAGGCTTCCTCTACAAAAGGAAAAATGCATATATTTCTATGTTTACTTAATCTGTTAGCTGAGGCATAGAGGAGCTGTGTACACAGTATGATGATAGGCACCATGCTGTGTCTTTGCCAAATAATGCTTCATAACTGTCTAATGTTCTTACTTGTGTTATTGTCTGAATGGATGCTGCTGGAGAAACCACTTTGAATAGAAGACATGTTCTTGCTAGCTTCCCTTTGTCTCAGTGCAAAACTGTGGATGCTGTTTTCCAAGGGGACAGGATGAAAGCAGTGTGGTACCCTCCAGGGACTTGAGACAACAAGCACACACGGTGTGGTATTCCTTAAAGTGTTCATGGCTCACCTTGTTCTGCACAAAATTTCTGCTTGAAGCTTTTAGAAGTACCGCCCTTCCAGCCTGTAAAGTTGGCACCTACATTGATTGAAAGCATTTGCCTTGGGGAACTCTGACAACTTACTTTTTTGTGCACTGTCTAAGTAAAATGTTTCAGAGTTTCAGTGGGCGCCCATACTCTGAAATGCAGGTGACTATAGAGGCCACAGATGATCTGCCTTCCCATGTGTGTGTGTGTGTGTGTGTGTGTGTGTGTGTGTGTAAAATGGGAAATTTCAAATTTGAAGATGATCTAGGAATTATTTGCATATTACCACTGTATACCTTGAGGAAAGTGAAGGAGCATAGTCAACCTGAATTTTAGCCTGAATTAAATATTCCAACTCATTTGTTTGACTTGCATTCATAGAGCATAGTGACGTCTAGTGTGATGATCTATGGTTTTTTTGTTTTATTCCACCCATAGATTCTCACTTGAGTTCCTAACCAAAAGATATTTTCAGCATCCAAATCATGTCCATCACATTCTTGTCTGCTTACGTGACAGCATTTTACCTTCCTCACATTAAGAGACACACATTGGCTATGACTCTTTTCCTATCATCTTGGAATATATCTAATATGTAGAAAGTGTTTTGTTATATTAAAGCACATAAAAACTATCACAAAACACAAAAGTATCCTTTCTCTTTGTTGAGAAAGGAACAGAAAGCAAACATCTATATAAAATCCTATAAAGGTTCCTATGACAGAGTCCAGGCAGCCTCGGACCATCAAATGGGGACTAAGAATGGCTCTATACAACTTTCCAGATAGAATCCTTTCCAGGGACTGTGAAATTCTGAAGGAAGAAATAATATAATTGGCACAGCACGATGGTTTGCCTGTGGTAGGCATCCGATGAATCCTTAATGATGGGTTGTGCAAGCTAAAATTGTGAATGTCTCTATTATTATCTTCTGTTGAAGAATGCACAGTATTTTCCTAAGATCCTGGGTTTAACAGTTAGCTGGGAACTCAAACCACTGAGAAACAAAACAAATTCAACTTGAAGGAGTGATAGAACCTGAGCCATCAGTCAGGGCATGCGTGTCCTCTGAGGCAGGTAGAAGACATTCCTAAGTAGTAATAGGACCCAATGTCTCTGAGGAAGAGTGCTGAGCCAGTGTCTCTCCTTTTAGCCTCTCTTGTGACTTCTCTCCTTCAAATCAGATAGTTTGGAAACATACAAAAGACAAGAGATTCCTGTTGCTTTATCTCATAAGCCCTAACTATTTTTAAATAAGGATCACTATTGAGCAGTATTAAATGAATTAGTTTGTTCTGTTTCAGGTTTTGACTTTTGAAACAAGGTCTTGCTGTTTAGTCCAGACTAGCTTCAAATTCTCAAACCTACTGCTCAGCCTGAGTTCTAAGATCACAGGTGAGCACCACTGCATCAGCTGGCAGAACACTGTTTATTTTCACTTTCTTCTGAGGGAGAGTGAACAGGATAGCAGTGACCAGCAATGAATCCTTTAGAAGACAAGAAGGACTGAAGGGATTCAGATTAGCTGTGGAACTATTCTAGATAGTCTGTAAGTGGTACCCCAGGGCTTTTATGCTGAGTAGGTGTATCTAGGCAAGGCATCCAGGAGCATGCTGGAATTTGCTGTGTGGGGGAGGGAAAGGCCGTAGAATGAGTCTCCCCATACAAGAAGATACAAGGCCACCTAGGTACTTGAACATTGACCTTTTCCCAAAAGCACTTGCAGAAAGACTGTGTCTGTCATCGCTGATTCTGTCTGAAAGTCTTTCTAGTTTGTCTTGTCTTCAGCTCTCCTCTAGCAGTCCTGTTTGCCTATGTAAAGAAGACAGAGCTTTCAGGAGAATGACGACACACTACTTCACAAGTCAGGTTTTGGTGACTACATACATTATCTTGAGAGAATATGCTAACAAGGAAATCACATTTATCTAAAAATTTAATAAATTTTATTAAAAATAAATAATCAAATTGGAGACTACCTTAAATATCTAGGATGTGGTGGAACTGACATAGTACTGTGTCTTGCTTTTGTAAGGCCTCCTTAACACTTCCCATGCCCGCCTTCCCTAGAAAAAGTGCAGGAAGCTGAAAAAAAAAAAACAGATCCAGAGTGTGTTCTAGTAGCCTTAGTCTGAATAGGGTACCCGTCACTGTGTGTGTATAGTAATAGAGCCGTCATAGATCTGAATGCTCATAATGATTAATCTTCTATGTGTAGTTCTCTCTCTCTCTCTCTCTCTCTCTCTCTCTCTCTCTCTCTCTCTCACACACACACACACACACACACACACACACAAACACACACGCACACACAGTGTGTGTCACATACACTAACTCCAGGTACCAGGGAGGTTTGTAACTGGGGCTTTGGCAGCGCTATTCCTTTAATGGATTCAGTTAATACTTTCAAGGAATTGAAATCATTTCAAAAGAAACCAAGTGAGCAGATATTCATGCTTTCCTTTCTCATCCTTCCCCTGCAAGAAGTAAGACAAATCGTCATTTAACTGTTGAGTAAAATTCAACAAAGCCAATTCACCGTAGGCTTCTGAGGGTGGCAGGACACCAGAGAATCTAGGCAGTCATCAGGATCTAAGCACACAAAACCTCAGTAAAGGCCTGTAGGTAGGTTTTAGGACCATGAGATCACTACCAGATTTGTTTATTTCCTGTTGGGTGTAGCAAAAGTCTGTGTGACCCTGTTGCCTGTAAAAGTTTTCATGCTCCATAAAAGACATATAGCCATTTCTCCTCACCAGTCACTAGTTTGGACATTTACAGAGTGAAGAAACGGTGCCAAAATGTCCTCAGATGAAAATGAAGAAAGCGGAGAACTGGGTACAAGTTCAGTCTATGGGTCAGTCCCTGCTGAGACTGACCATGCTGAGATCTCAGTGGTTGGCTGATTGGGATCTTGGCTAATTTCCAGCTATGGCTGGAAAATCATGGCACATGGAAGTGCACGTAGTCAGAGGCCCTTCAGAAAGAGCTGACAGGCCTCAGAAGAAAACCCAACCCTGCCTTGCTTCTTCAAGTAATCTTCCCTTTGTTCTCCAAGTAGAATCTTATTATAATTTTCACTTTTGTCAGAATCTAGGCTCTTGCCTATGCATTAGTTTCCTCATGCAACAGAGCAATAAACCCAAATGGGTGTTCACATGCTTCTGGCTCCCTATAAACAAGCCTGAGCAGCTCAGGCCTCCTTTGATGACTAAAACAGCAGCAGTTACACCCCAGGGGGCAACCTGCCCTATTTGCTACTCTCTGCTAGCTAGGACCAATCTGTCTGCTCTGCTTTTTTTTTTTTTTTCTTCCTTATTCTGCATCTGAACTCATTATCAGCCAAGAAGGACCAGATGGGATTTTCCAGTACTGGGATACTTGCAGGGCTCCAGGGCCCAAGGGTCATAAGGAAATAAAGTTAAAGAGTCTGAAGCAAGGGTTTCCTAAATCAAGTAGTCACTGAAGATTCATGGTCTTGGCATCTATAGTAGACTCTGGCTAAACCCAAAAGAAGGATCACTGCGTGCCAACCAAGCCATGTGGCAACTGTGACAGCTAGTTTGCCAAGGGTGGAGTGAGATAAAATCTCATCAAGAATGCCAACCAGTTTAGAATTTTCCCTAAAACTCTCTTCCCAGTTCACTGTCCTCATCCTTCCCTTCCCTTTCCTTCCCTTTCATTGCTCAACAGACTGCTTAGTAAATGGCCAAATAGTTATGAGGGGGTTGGCTTGGAAGCAGATAACAGGAGATCTTAACTGAGTAATAGCCAGTCTCACAGCCGAACACCATAATCAGGCAATGACACAGAGATGCTTAAAACACGACGTGGCTTGGTAGAGGAGACATTTGATTAAGATGCTCCCCACTTATAGCTAACTGTAAGGCTCACACAAGCCACTGTGTGCCCAGGTTTCTTATGCTTCCGTGAGAAATGAGAAGGGATTGGACCAAATGCAGTTTTCTTTCTTTTCTTTTCTTTTTTTTTTTTAACGAAAGACATGCTGAATTTTGTTTTGTTTTGTTTTAAATCAAATCGTAATTTTTACTTATTCACACAGGGGTTATAAATACAAAAAGGCAGGGTGTGGGGAAGGGGATGACACTGGAGTGAAAGTGTTCAGGGGGAGTACAGATATCTTTCAGAACAGGGTATTGGCTGGGTGAAGGTTCAGGGGACAGGTCACTATGACTCTGCCTTTGATTCACTTGTCCTTGTCTAAGTTGGTACTATCCACCAAGGCTACCTATTTACAAGGTCTATGACTACTCAGGCTGGTAAATTTCCACAAAAGCTGCCTGTATACAATAGCTTATAGCCATCTGTTTCAGGTTTTTCCACAGAGACCCAAGACTTTGTGTTAGCATGCATGTATGTCAGGCCTATTTCTGATTTTAGGCCTATGGCTGATTTTAGGCCTTCAGTGTATAAGCAGGGCTGCCCCTGACATCTCTTCCCTTCTCTGAGTATAGAAGGGCTGTGGCGATTCTAATCTTGCAAAGGTGGGGATAGAGGCCTGACCTCCCCACTTATAGCTAGCTGTAAGGCTCACACAAGCCACTGTGTGCCCAGGTTTCTTATGCTTCAGTCAGAAATGAGAAGGGATTGGACCAAATGCAGTTTTCTAATCTCCGCTTTACTCCCCCTTCCGTCTTACTGCTCTCAAACATGGCTCATTTATATTGTAAGTTGGAATGACACACAATAATGCATAACCAATGTAGATGTTTCCTTGTTCATTTTGGGAAAATTCCAACTAAGCTTCCATTCATTCCATACTTTACAACAAGCTTGAAGAGAGTGGGTAGCCCACCATTTCCAGCATTCAGACATCAGTATCTATCCTTTGGTTAAAAATCCCTATTCTCTAAACTCACTGTTCTCATGGAAGCAGTGATTCTGTTCAGGGAACTGTTGTATAGAGTCACCGTGAGGGACCAGACACCTAGTGTCTGCAGTTTGAGTTCTTGCATCATACCTGCTGTAGCAACAGAGCCCACTCCAAATACTCAGCCCACATAATTTTCTCCGAACAGTCCTAATTGCCAACCCTGTGTGGGAATTTGGGAGCCTTTGGCAAACAAGCTTGAACACTCCTGACATTTGGTGCAAGATTTACACAACAGCAACTGTCTCCACACACCTTTCTCTCCACATGCACATCCATTCTGAGCCTTTTTGTTCCCTGGAGGGATGTGCAGGAGCCTTTGATTGATTTCATTAGAAAGTTTTCCTCTTGATTTGCTTGCATAATAGGCATCACATCATAGGGAGAGATGCTGTCACTTACAAGATTGGAATTTTCCCATTTTCTACTGCCCCTTTCCATGCTCACAGAGTGTCTAAGTCATTAAGGCAGTGAGAGGTGGCTGCATCTTACCCCATCTGGTTCTGTTATAAAAGACCAGTGCATTTTTGCTTTTTGAGCAAATTTCAGCCAGAGTTAAACTGATGTGTTTAGTGTGGTGAACATCTTCATTGCCAGAAAAGATTTCGGCTAACCAGATTTGGGGGAGCAAGATGAACAGCCAGGTCTGAAAGGGTTAAATTTAGTAGGTGGTGATAGTAGTTGGGTTTTTCTCTCCTCTCAAGGTGACAGAAGATCTAAAGGGAGAGCAGAAAGATGTTTCTTAATTGACCCACTTAAGATCATTGCAGAAAAGGTGGAGAAATCCAGAAGGTCCTGGGAGATTAGGTTCACACTAACACTCTGAATCATTTCTGATCAGTTATTTTTCTATGCCGAATCTTGTTTTATCCTATGATCCAATTACCCATTTTGGTATTTTTAAGTCTTTCAGACTGTATTTTGAGGATCTTTTAGAATGAGAATAGAATCTACTATCGGAACAGACCTATGCTCTGCAGAGGCATCATGTGACCCAGACAACGGGTGGCAGAATATCTCTGGGTTCCTCTGGAGACACCCCCAATCCCTGGTGAGCTTTGGAACCTAACAACCGACTGTTATCCTTATCACCATCCTCTGGGACATGGGGATGATGCAGTCATAGCCTTGCTACTTCTGGGCTCTGTTTTTCCCCATGGCAACCATTTATCCTGCCTGGAAATGGCCTGCTACCTTAGGTAGGAGACAGATGCACTCATGAGCCAAGGAAGTGGTCAAACAGATCCCTAAATTGTCTCCATGCTGCAGCAAATCCCCTAATACACACAACCAGAAACTCAGCTCCTGGGCGGCTTAATCCCCACAAAGTCACTTTCCTGTTCTAAGAGCCTTCGGTATCCAGATTCTTCTACAAACCACCTCAACTCTTTCCTGTTTCTTCCCTCCTCCATAAAATCTCAGCATCCCATCCTCACATTGCACAACAATGACCAGGTCAGCTGGTCACTATAGAGATTTGTATATATTAAAACAAACCTACTTTTTGGAGAATTTTTTGTATATTCTTTTTCTATTTGTTTTCTACAGATTGAGGAGAGAGCTGGCAAACTGTGAATCTAATTTTATCTTGATGCCAGCAGATATATTTTAGCTTCCTGGTATGAATCTGTGTTACTAGGGACACCATATCGCCCTCTGATCAGTATTACCCCTCCAATATACAAAGTGACTTTGGCCCAATCTTACATTCTTTCTTCCACAAATCCCCAAATTTCTTTGCTATTATTTATACAGAGAAATATTTATAGTCCTGGATATTACAAGTTTTAATGTTAATTTAACTTTTAATAATGTTACACATTTGTATCTATTCTTCAAAAATCATAAAGACTTGGAGTAGGCTGATATAGTCTCTTTGGTATCTGTAATTTTTTCAGACAGATATTTTCTTATGATATTTTCTATACAACCACATAGATAGAAGTATAGCTAATTAGAGCACACATTTCTATAGCAATTTGGGGTATCAACTGTTTCCTGAGCATTCAGACACAGTTGAGAAATTTTGGAACTGAGTCCTTAATGATGCAATGAGTAACTTGACCAAA